GAGTTGATCCATCTTGGAAGTTATATTTTGCGTAGTTGCTCCCAAATTTTGTTGAACTGGGAATTGTGGAGCTGGTGTAGGTTGGGTGTTTTGATTTTGTTGCACAGTTGCACCGAGTTCTTGCTGACTTGGGAACTGTGGTGCGGGGGTGGAAGCCATATTAGCACCGCTGGACTGATCGGCTTGCTGACCGGTCGCTGCCAAAATTTCTTGTTGACTTGGATATTGTGCCTGTGGCATATTTGGATCCATGGTGGATGAGAAACCGGCTTGATTCATGTTGTCGTTCGTGACGGGCATTCCAGTGATTGGCTGGAACTGAAACGTATGCTAAAACATACCAACTACAGTACTACATACAACATCAACTACAGTAATCAGAAATGTATACAAAACCGTACTTCTCTATTGATTTTCGAACATTCTGGAGCTCCGCTTTCAAGATTTCGATTGCTTTGAAAATTTTGAAAAGTGTAAAAGAGACCTAGACTGAAAACTTTGTATTCATAGAATTTTTTAAAATTTCTAATTTTTCGATGTCTCGGCAAATAGTTGAAAAGCTAGGAACTGTCAAGAATTTCTGTAAATGCAAAGTTTTAAATCTAGATCTTTTTCATGATTTTCAAACTGATCGAGAACTTGACAGCCGTGCTCCAGAATCTTGAAAATGGTCAACGTGACCAAAAATAAATTGAAAAATACGTTTCTATCACTATCACAATGTTGCGACTTTACATCTTCTTCTTCTTCCCTAATAAATCAGTTTTAACGAGCCTTACCCCGGTAGATGACTGTCCATTATTGTTGAAATTGGTTGTTGGTGTCGTCGATTGGAATTGGTTACCCTGTACACCTCCAATGAACTGTCCGTTGGTTGTTCCTGTAACTGGATCTGTTCCAAAATCATTTTGAATAGGGACAGGTGTTGCAGATGACTCCATGGGAACATTTCCACTATTCATCGGGACCGGGACAGGAACAAAGCTAGGGGTCTGGATTTGGGTGGTTGTTTCAAAGGCTGAGTCATTTTGAGATTGCCACGAGACACCGAACTCATCTTGGTTAGAAGATATCGTTGATGGCTGTTGGGGGAATGGGGTCTGGGTCGTTTCCTGTCCGGCCGACGGGACAGGATAAATTACAGGATAAGGGGTGGTACCTGGGAATACAGTTGTGGCCTGGAAGGGAGGTTGGGTTTGTTGGAACTGTTGGTTTTGATCTTGGGGTTGTTGGAATTCTTGTTGCTGGGGTGCTTGGGTTTGTTGGAACTGTTGGTTCTGGTCTTGGGACTGTTGGACTTGTTGCTGGGGTGGTTGTGTCTGACCTGCTCCAGGGATTGGATAAATTACAGGGATCGGGGAGGGGGTACTAGGAGTCTGTGTGAATTGTTGGGAGTTGTCGTTTTGCGCACTATCAATAGGAGGGGTAAGTGTGTTGTCTGTGTAACCTTGTTGGCCATCCTGGAATTGTCCATTCTGGAACTGCAGAAAGGTGGTGAACTGTTGTTGTTGTCCTCCTAAGAACTCATTTTCTTCATTACCAGACCCTTCGGTCAAGAAATCACCTTGCTGGTAGCCAGGGGTGCTTGTGAATCCTCCTTGGTTCTGGTTGTTGAAATCTCCCTGTTGTGGTTGATTAGTGAATTCTTGCTGACCTTGCTGACCTTGTGTAACCTGCTGGAATTGATTGTTTGGAGCACTGGTGAATTGCTGGCCTTGCTGTGGAGTAGTGGATCCAACGAATACGCCTCCTTGTTGTCCTCCTTGACCAAAATTGTTTCCTTGAGCACCTTGTTGCCCTCCCATATTTTGCTGATTCTGCTGATTCATCTGATCTTGATACTGAGTATTCACATCTGGCTGTTGTTGGACGTTTTGGTTTGGCACAGCTCCGCCAGTTACAACTTGGGTTGGATAGGTTTGTGGTTGAACTTGGCTATTAACATATCCAGAGTTTGGAGAGTTGTAGGATGAACCGGCGACAGCTCCACCAGGAACAACCCCACCACTTGGGTAGATCACTTGCTGATCGTTCTGATTTTGCTGATATTGGCCTTGAGGTCCTTGCTGGTTTTGTTGATCATAGGCTCCACCTGTAATGATAATAATAATAAGAAGGATAATATTACCATACTTGAAGACAGACCCGATCCGAATCCTGACGGGTCCTGCCATAATGTTTTTAGAATCAATATTTTTGACCATCTAAAATGGATATGGAAGAACTTGACGAGTACTTAAATGATACTGTTTTAAAAATGGTGGCTTGTCAACAAACGGATTTATAAGCAAAACTGGCCGAAAAAACAGACAGGGCAAGTCTTAGCCCGAATCAGCAGCCTCATAGCTTGTATCGTTGTTCACAGACAAGATAACTTTTTTCCAATTACCTTCATTTTGTATTACTCGTCAAGTTCTATCAAGTACAGTTTAGTTGGTCAAAAATATTGATCTTTAGCATAACTATGGCAGGGCCTGCCGGGTTCTTTAGACGTGAAAAATACATTTGTCCTAATATATCATTGAAAAAAAAAACTACTGCTCACTTTGTGCTCCGTTGTTGTAATCGGTGTTTCCTGAGGGAGTAAATGGTTGGTATCCGACTTCTCCCCCGGCAAGAGCCAATGTGCTTCCTTGGAATTGGCCTTGGTTCTGATCCTGGAATTGCCCTTGGTTCTGGTTATCCAGATATCCTCCGGCGTTCATATTTTGGTTCTGGTACTGTTGATTGTTAAAGTTTCCTCCGGCATTTTGGTCTTGGTTTTGGTATTGGTATTGTCCATCTGGTCCTTGATATTGTGCTGAATTCTGATTCTGACCTCCAACAACTCCACCGGTATTGAAGTTTGGCTGGTTTTGATATGGATCATTGGGGTTTTGAAATTGGTTCTGGTTCTGGTTTTGGTTCTGCCCTCCAACATTTCCCCCAGCATTGATATTTGGGTCGTTGTTTTGGAATTGGTTCTGATTTTGATTCTGTCCTCCTACATTTCCTCCGGCATTGATATTCGGGTTCGGATTTCCAACATTTCCACCGGCATTGATTCCTGGTCCAGTATGTGTCTGGGTTACACCTCCAATTACAACAGTTCCTGTGGTGGCTCCACCAGCTACAACTCCTCCATTTAAGTTATTTGGGTAATACCCAGTTTGGTTTTGATTTTGGTTATCCTGATCATATCCAGTCTGGTAGCTAGGAATTGGACCTGGATTTTGATAGTTATTCGTTGCCTGAAATTTGTTTTATGGTCATCTCCATTGGTAAAATTATTCTCTTCACTGGTAAAATAGAACGCACCTGGTTGAAATTCGATCCTTGTGGTTGCTGCTGCTGTTGGGGTTGAACATCGCTTACGACTCCTAGAAAAAAGTTAGATATATAAAAGTAGAAAAACCGATTTACTCACGCTGTCCATTATAATACATAATCACCTGACTCCCTTGTGCTCCATTTGTAAAAGCTCTGGCAGATTGAATTGTTTGCACGTTGGATGTAGGCACGCAACACGGAGACCTACAAATCTTACTGTGTTAAAGCAACCGGAATGAACTGGAACATGCACAATCACAAACACCAAGAAAAAAGTGTTAAGAAAGAGAAACTACCATAAGTACCGGTTAGAGGGAACTTGCACATAGTTACTTGGCACATTGAGAACATACTGATAGGTTGGTTGTGGCGCACAGTTGACACACTGCGATAGGCAACCGGGGCTCACATACTGCAAAAAAATTTTAGAAAATTAGAACATTATTTTTTTTCTCTAAATCAGAGTTTTTTAAAATGTTCTTATCTCACTTTTATCGATATCAAAATATTACAATAGTTTAGTAGTATATTCATGGAGCTGCTTCATATAAACTATACGTAACACCTAGAAATTTTTCTCAAGATGATTATATGATGATGATGCTGATGATGGCGGCTAATTTTTCGTTTCGGGCTCTCTGGCAAAAGGAGGTTGCCACTGGCGTGAGAGCCAAAACGCAAACAAAAAGAGCCGCTGCTGGCGTCCGAATGGTTTCTCATTTTCCGCTGTCGTCGCCATCCCACAGAAAAACAACAAAAAAGCTGATTAGAGACGAAACGTCATTCATATTAGGTGCAAAAAGTCCCCCACTGTCTGATTTCCTGTCTAGTAGTTTTTTAAGGCCATGCTCTTTTCTTTTTTTTTACTCCGTGGTTCTATAAATGTCGACGGGTATCAGGTTACCATTATTTTGGAATTCGAATCCGATTCTCAAATGTTGTTTGATTAAAAATGCATATATTTTTAGGCGAGGGGAGATGGAGCACGCGCGTGCTCCCTCTAAAAAACTGGATAACCTTGTAGTTGACAATAAGCAATCAAGTGCTCAGAAACTTGTTTCCGATAGAGACAATCGCCCTTTAAACTGTCAAACAATACAAGTGTCAAAAGAACTTGTTCTTGAGCGCATGGATGTTTGGAGTTGAACTATGAATTAGGGTCAAAAAGTTGTAATAAGAGGGTTTTCTGGCTTCCAACTTTAAGCTAATATATCTCGGTTCCTGTCAAAAATATAGAAAAGTGGTCAACAGACAAATTGCTTATCATAATATCAGAAAAATTTTGATAGTCAACACATTTTGGATATATTTCACAAAAAAATGAGATAAATTGATTCAAAGTTGATAGTATGGTCACCCTATGTATTTCTGGTTTTACGGTAATATCAAGGTATTGAGTTTCGGTAAGCTGTCGGAACATTTTTTAGGTATTTCTAATTTTTATCACTGAAATTTCATTTATTCATTCCAATTCAGAACATTTGAAAGAATTCAAACTGAAGAATAGTATGAAGAATTTCCTAATTTCACATTTTCATTTAAATTTGCAAATTTTCCAACTTTGCAACTCAGATTTAGCAAATTACGCTAATTGAACAAAAATTATGAAAACATGATTTTTGATTTTTTGCGCTGACTTTGATTTTAAACCAATAATCTAACAAAAGAAAATTTTTAAAATAGAAACTATTCTAAAACCTGTGATTGAAAAGCCTACTAACTTTAAGACACTTTCTCTGAGAGATTGCCATGGTGGTTTGAGTTTCTCAGAGATTGTGTCTTAAGCGAGTTCATCTCGGTTCTTGTCAAAGATACAAAAAAGTTGTCAACTGATAAACTGTTTATCATAATATCAGAAATGTTTTGTCAGTTTACAAATTCTTGATATCTTATATAACAACAGAGATAATTTAGCTCAAAGTGCACGTATAGGACGAGATTCTATTAGACCTTTTTAAAAAAAATAAAGATTTGAATTTATTTTTGAGCTGCTACAATGAATTCCTTAACAAAAAAAACATTGATCTCAAGCTGTGATAACGATTTTCAAAACTTTTCTTATCATTAAAAAGTTGAAACTGAAAGTTGAAACTGATACATGTAATGAAAATTTATAGCTTTTGAATCAAGTGATAACGCGTAAGACTTTTCTTGATCAATAGTTTTCAAAACTGAAATTCAAAAAAAAACTCACCACTACTAAGAAAATCGCTAAAAGTTTCATAATTCGTACAGAACGGTTCGTCCGGAGAATCTCGTAAAACTGCGGTTGATGTCGAACAGAGACTGAAGGAAGCCCCCACAGGCTTAAGCAGTATATGACTTGACTCAAGCTTTTTTTTTAGCAAGTAGTAGAGCAAAGAGGGGCGGAGCAAACAAATATTACCGACTGCTGGCGCCAACCGGAACGTGAAAGTGGCAAAGACACACGCGGGGCGGAATGGGATGCGGAAAAGTAAGGGAAGAGAGCTTGCGCAATATGGGGGTCGAGAGCACAAGTACCTCTCGAGCTCGCCACCTTTGCCTTTATTACAATTACTGTGATATTTACCCCGTCAAAAAATGACACTTACTCACCTCCCCAGATAGATTTTTTGTTAGCTGTTAGGAAAACGAGGGCGAGAAACAAACAAAAACGATGATTGATGATTCGATGGCAAATTTTTCGAATTTTTTTGGCTGGATTTAGAATTCAAAAATCAAATTAAAACCATCGACAGGTTGAAAAAATTGTTTGAGTACTGTTACTCATGCTACTATGACAGTTCGCAGTTATTTCATGGAGGAAAAAAACTTGATGAGAGTTTCGGGAACACCGAAACTTAATTGATAAACACGCTAATAGAAAACCTTCAACTTAGAGGCCATATATATATATCGTTTCCTGTGAAAGATATGACAAAGTTGTCAACTGATAAAATGTTTGTAATAGTTTGAGCAATATTTTATCAGTGAACCACTTTTTGATATCTTCTTTGCGAGATAAATTGATTTAAAGTTGAAAGCTTGGATAACTATTATAGTGTTTACAGTAAATTTTAGGTTTCAAAAATTTTCAAAAACCACAGAAAACTCACAATTTTACTCAAACAAATAATGAAGAGGCTTGAAGCTAACTGCATGGTCTTACAACATTCAGTACAGAGTAGAATGATACATATATCCAGGACACTGAATCTCATCGGTTTTTGTGGTTGTCACAGTACATCGTTCTTCCGACAAATACCTCATAAATCTCGCTGGACAGTGAGAAAGGGGGGAGAAAACGTATTCAGGAAAACCTGAGGAGGTAATCATACTGAATAGTAGAGATTGTAGGGAACGGCTTGATCTTACAGATCATAAATTTAAATGAAAAATTCATCAATGTTACTTTTACGCTAAACTTGATAAATTACTATACTCTCTGTATATCAAATACCGTACAACTTGTGATAGAAGAGACCCAACATTTACACGTTTAGCTCAATTATCTCATTTTCTATACAAGATATCATACATGTGTCCACATGAATTTTAAAAGTTAGGAGCCCTTCTATTTTGGAACCTGTACCAAAATGTTTAATTATTCAATATAAACTAAATAATCAATTTAACATCTCGATATTTACTCTGTTCTTTTGTGCTCCACAGTTCTGTTCCAATTTGCTCCAAGTGGGTGGCATAATTGTGGTCAAATACAGTCTAATGGCAAAGTAGTGCCTATTGCTCAACTAGATCCAAAAAACGAGTTACCCTCAATCCAACACTGTTTAAAAGACCCTTTACGGAAAAGCATGCGAGGCGACAAACTACAGTTGCGCACAAGCATTAAAACAAACAAAACATCATCCTTTTCTTCCTTACAGTTGTTCAAATCACTTGGAGAGGCTGGAGTTCAATTGAGTCCGACGAAAGATGAGATTGATGAGCTCATGACAACAGCGATTTTGGCATTGCGAACGTGCTTGGTGGAAATGGAAAAGGTGTTCAATTTGTCGGAGAACTTCAAGGCTAAATATATGAGTGAGTGGTTGAAATACTTTTGAAGGAAAAAAAGAAAAAAATTCAGTTCCGAATAAGCCTCATGAACTATTCTCACGGCTAGGCGTAGGTTTTGTGTATGCACCAACTGGTGAGTGATATTAAGCGTTGTGTTTTTGGTTAGTTTATATTACTAATCGATAGCAGAGGTGTAAGGAGCGAATATTTTGTAAATTTTTTAAAATTTTGTGACTTACCACTTCATTGAATAGTTCGAATTTTGATGGATTTTTGTGTTTTGTTGTTCTGTGTCTATCAACTCAAAAAAAAAAATTTTAAAAAAACTCAATCAATGTTTGAGAAACAACGTATTAATAACGATCATCGCAAAAAAATCAGCATATTCCGAGATTCGAAAAATTTCGAAACTCTGTAATCCCAACTTTCGAGAATTCGGAATATTCCAAAAATCTGATTTTTGAAATTTTGGAATTTTCCTGAAGCCCAATTTTCATCATTCCGAAAATTCTCGAAGTCCAAATATCAGAAATTCGTAACATTCCAGACAATCCGAATTTACAATTTTTCGGAATTCCGAAAATACTACTTTTAAAAATCCGAAATATTTACGAAGTTCCGATTTTTTAAAAATTTCGAATATCCAGAAAGTCCGATTTTGGGAGTTAGTAATACTTGGGAAAGTCCGATTTATTAACATTTGGAACATTCCAGCGATTCCGAAAGTCCGGTTTTCAAAAATAGGAAAAATGCCGAAATTCCAAAACATTAATTTCCCGAAATTTTGAATATTTAGGAATTGCGAGATTCCTATTTTTAAAAATTTGAGAGCATTCAGAAATTTGTAAATTCGCGTTTCTGAGAACCCGGTTTTTCGAAAGTTCCGATTTTCAAAAATTCGGAGTACTCGTTAAATTCCAATTTTTCACCTTGCAATATTTCAAAAATCTAATTTTTTAGAATTTGAAACATTCCAGAAATTCCAAAATGCCCATTCAATATTCCGAATATTTCAAAAGTCCGATTTTTCGAAAATTCGGAACATTTCAGAGATCCGAAATGCCGATATCTGAAAATTCTAGAAATTTTCTGCACTTCTTATCAATAGTTGTCAAACATATTATTTAAAATATGTAATACCACTAATTTCTGAAAAATTTCAATTCCAGCTATCCTCCGACGAACAGTATGCCACGAAGCTTTGGTTGGCACCAGTGGAGACAGCGACGATGAACTCTCCGACACTCCTGGCTTATCTCTCCTAGCTTTATCCGGTCCAGAACTTCAAGCGGCACAAGCAAAAGCCATGGAAACGGCGATCTCAGCACTTCAATCAGGTGGAGCGTCCAATCTACCAGTACAATTCCCACCACAATCTCTAACAATGACTCAAATCGAACGAAATTTCGAATTCTTGAGACGAGTAAGTGAATGGTATTCCTACTTCTCCTCATAGATGCATTTTCAGTGCGGTTTCCCGACTCCACAACTACCACCCGACTTCTTCAAGCAGTTTGCAAACAAGTCTCCAGAGAAAAGTGAAGAAGAAAAATCACAGCGACCTTTAAGATCTTCTAAGTCACCAAGTTCTCCGGATTGATTAAGAAACTACCTCATTTCAATGATCTTTAGTATTATTTTTTATTTTTATGTTGAATGATTTATTTATTTGCAAAAAAATATTAAAATATTATTTACACTGGGAATGAGATAATAATGAAACCATTTATTTAAAGTATTTCAAAACTTGCTTGAAAAATCTTGACACCCTGGTATCATTAATCTTATTCACATTAAAGTGATTAGGGAAGCAATAAAACGAGACAAGTGCCAGACATCATTTTTTTTTGTTAATGTTTCGGACGTCGTACCTGTTCTACAAGCCCAGTTTCCTGTTATTGAATCATCTTCATATTGTGAATAATATTGCATTGAAGACATAAAAAAAATAGAAAGCCATAGAACCGAGTTTTATTTTTCAATAAAGTTACAATAAAAAACGATAACCGCGCCCTCCCATCCCTCTCCGCCTTCTCTAGTCGCCATTTAGGCCCGGCAGATCTTCTCAACCTTCTTCTTTCACTTGTGTCTATCTCTCTTCATTTTTAACACACATCTGGTTCTCGCCATTGGTCTTTGTATATCAGGCGGGCGCCCTGAAGCTTAAGAGAAGACGTCCCAGTGAAGAAGGCTATTCTTTTTTTCTTTTTTCCTTCCTATGTACATAGCCGTACAGTTCATTGCAGCTTCATCCTCCTTCTTCTCTTTTCTTCTTCAAATCAGCTGTCTCGTCCTTCTTATTCTTCCATTATCCTCTCCTTTTATTTTCTACTCCCTTTCACCACCCCTTCTTTCTCTCTTGTTCACTCACTCCGCTTGTTCGCTTCTCTCTCTCATATCTATGCTGGAGTCCTTCTAGCACATCTGAAAATCATTTTCAGCTGCCATGACCGCTTCGATACTGTTCACTATATTCCTCTTGCTATTCTTTGCATGCCAACCAATCACATCACAATTTGACGACATTGATGTCTTGACTGCTTCAGGTTAGAGATGAAATAATTCTGAACTCGAGTCATTCAATAATAATGGAATACTGTATATAGACCAATTATAGTATTTGAAAACTAGAAAAATTGCTATTTTGCAATGTGATATGGCTTCGTGTTGTGAAGATTTGTCCACCAATCACTGCTGAACAGTGGGGGACAGCAAAAAAAAGGAAAGTCGACTGTATACTTTGAAAATCCAGTTCCTGAGGCAACGTTTTTCTGTTGACTGCGTCTTGTTGATATTGCCTAATCGAAATTGTTAGCTTGGCAGTGTTTGATCGGTTTCAGTTGAAGGAGATAATGATAATGACTATTTTTGCATAAGACACTTTGTTTGTCAGTGTCTTTGGCAATAAATCTGAATGTAAAAGTGAAACTGATAGTAGATTTTTCAAACATGAGGGTCGTAAATGAAAATAACGTTAAACCTGTAATAAAAGGAAGCCAACTTTGTCAAGTTTGAGTATGATTATCTTATATTTCACAGGAATCGAGATATTTGGCTAAACGCTAGAGGGTCCTTCTATTACAGGTTTCATAGTTATTTTCTAATTAAAACCGTGAGATAAAACTCTGAAAATATTTTTATCAGTGCATTTCAACAGTTCAACTAATTGAAAAGTATCCTTGGAAGGCCCCAAATAACAATTTCAAATTTTTGCTCTAATAAAAGCTTTCTGCTCTATTATCTCGGTTCCCATAGCAGATATCAAAAGTTGGTGAACTGGTATTATGTTAGGGGTATTATGATAAACATTTCGTCAGTTGACCACTTTTTGATATTTTCCAAAAAAAAACCGAGATAATTCAGCTTAACCTGCACGTATAGGGTTGGATTCTATTGCAGCATTTATTGTAAATAACGGTGTGCACACAAATCTGGTAATTGTTTCATACATTTTTTGCTAATTTTTTAGCTAACTAAATATGATGAATATGATGAACTTATAGAATCAAAACTGTTGAAAAACCATTTTTAATATTTTTATCAGTATTATTCTAATTTACAGCTTCATGCAATTTTCAGATGGCGAGCTTCAACAAATGCAACGATATTTATCCCAAAAACTCGCTCAAATCGAGAACGCCTTACAAAAAAGTTCTCGACGAAAACGATCAGTCTCTCCGATTTCCGCTTCGTTGCCTAATCGGTATCCGCAATTGTTACGTGTTTCACCTTTTCAAAAAAATCATCCCTATTCAGAGAATCGGCAGGCTTCCTAAGTAGGATTGGCGCCATAAAGAAGTCTCTAGAGGAAGCGAAACAGATTTCCAATAACATCACTGCATCGGTAGCGCCGACGAGTGAGAATCTAGATGGACCAACACCACAATCCGATGTTCTTTCGCCAAAGTTCGAGAGTGGAAAATTTCAACATGTGGGAGTTTTGAGCTAACTGTGATTGTAATAAGAAATAATTTAGAAAGTATTAAATCCAAAAGACATAATATTGCATTTTACAGATCAACGACTCTTTGACCACATGCAAAAAACTGTCACAGCCAGAGTTGGTAGCAGAACTCAAACAGAAGGGTACATACAATCCAGAGTTGATGGCATGGGATGCATTGGGAGTAATTCGATTTCTAGATAGAACATTTCATGAGCATTATCAAGTGAGTCCGTTTTATTATTTTGTTGATAACCAGCCTGTTACCCGCGCATCTGGCGCATCGGACAGCTGGCTGGCGCGCTTTCGGCGCAACTTAATCTTTCTTCACTGTGAAGTCGCTCCTCACTATTTGTTTTCTCTTCCGCAAAGGGTAATGTCTATATATATATATATTATTTTCAAGCTTTTTTGATAGTTGTGCGGTTAAAGTTACAAAATGAGAGATGAAAAAACGCAACTTCATATATTTATTATAAGAATGATAAGTGAATTTCAGAAGGGTTCTGCCAAGAATAAATCCAAAACTGAAGTCATCGAACGAAATGTTGAAGCTCTTGAAAAACTCATGAGGGAACTAAATGTGACGTGTGATCTCAAAACCGACGAACTTCGAACCAAGTTTCACAATATCTCATTGTAAGTTGTCAACCCAAGATATACCGGTCAATGAGATATACAAAAAATGTTGTTCAGTTGATTTTGGGCTGTTTTCAGAAGACTAGAGCTCGGCTGTCAAGTTTCCAATCGCTTTGAAAAATTTGGAGTGTGTAAAACTTATCTAGATTGGAAACTCGGCATTCACAGAATTTTCTGAAAATTACTAGTTTTTCAGCATTGTTTCGACTTTTGAAAGACAAAATTTTTGGTTTGTATTTGTACTGAAAACGTGGTCCCTCCGAAACCGCCAAATAGCTGGAAAACTAGGAATTTTTAAAATGTTCTGTGTAAGCAATTTTTAATCTAGGTCTGTTTTAAACCCACCGAAATTTTCAAAACGATCCGACACTTGACAGCCGAGCTCGAGACTTCTGAAAGAGACAAAAATCAACTGAAAAATAAGGTTTTGTATATCACCTTGATCGTTACTGTATGTACTTTTCAAATTTCAGCGTGGACCCGCGACGAACAATTTTCTCGCCATCGCTTCGCCGATCCAAAAGAATGGATCGCCTAGAGGAGTTCCTGAAGGTTTTGAATGTGACGCAACCCGAGCTTGAACCGTTCTCTCGCTTATCTGATCAACCATTATCAGTTGAAAACGAGAGGATTACGTACAGGCAAAAGTTGATAGGTGAGTTTTTGGAAGAGAGATCAATCGGAAAATGTTGATCTTGGGGGTCGGGCTAGCGAAATGGAAAGTACAAAATTTCGGTTTTGTCAGTGGAAAATTTTTCTGCTATTTTTCAAGAAAATAGGCGTTCACTTTTTTGAATCTTGAGTTCTCAGTACCATTTGATTTCCAAAGATGTATTATAACTTTTTAAAATCAATGAAATTTTAAAGTTCGAAACTCTTCAATTATTCCTTCCTGAAAGTTGTTGCTTAAGACATTTTGTAAACGTTCCAAATGTCTTGAACATTAATCACCTTACGAATCCAGTTTTCAACCTTGTAAATTTCATAATATTTCACCAAAAGCTATCCATTTTTTCCCAGGGGAATCCCACATCGTGCCATTCGGCTGTGATAAACGAGGAGCGGAAGAGGACGGATACCTGAGACTGTGCGGTGCTTGCCAGGCGATCGCCGTCTGCCCGACACTTTCTTCCCCCCATTTATCAATGAAGTCACTTGCGACACTGATAAGGCTTGCCTGTATTTCTATGACTATCGTAAGTGGCAGAGAAGGAGAACTGATAATAAAAAAAACAAGGAGATGATGAAAAATAGAATAATAAAAACATTTGTTTGTTACAGCGCATGGCAAGTGTCGGCAGAAGCATATGAACTTTGTCGTGTTGAGAAATGTAGGAACCAAGGAGTGTCAAGTGTGGAAAAAGTTCAATTTGAATGTGAGGGTGTCCTGCGAATGTTTCGTTGGTGAGTTACCGTACTACGGAGCCTCTTTGAAAACCAGATATTGACGACATTTTCAGGATAAGTTAGGAGTAACTTATCTAAAGACATCCGAAAACCTTAGAATCCGCTTGCCAGTTACAGCCAAGTCATATCAGTTTCAGTACCAAAAATTGTGTTTTCAATGGAAAACAACGAATTTCAAGGGCGTTTCTCTCAATTTCTAAAACGTTTCGGAACATGAAATTTGCTTAGTTATATATAATTAGAATTAGAATTCGAATTTAAGACATTTTCTAGAAAAAATACTTTTTATTTTCGAATTTCCCATTATTTTCCAGATTCATTCGAAAATGTGAAAAAATATTTTTCAAGAAATTATCTGGATAATGAAATTTCGTTTACCGTAAAACCTGTATTAGAAGGGCCGGCCCTTTTATTTTTCGTGTGGTCCCTAGGGGGGTACTTCAATTAGAGTGGACCTTCAATTAAAGGGGGCACTTGTATTTTTCGTGAGTTTGTGAGCAGGGAATTTCTATTAGACTAGCAACGTTTTTAGGGGAAAATTTTGTTTTTTCTACCTCAAATCCTTGAAAATTCTTTTTTAACGAAACAAATTATCTATATTTTGATGAAAACAAAAAACAACAGCAAAAAATCAATTTCTTCAGTTGGTTTTTTCAATTTGACTTCATAAGACTTCTATCTTTCGACACATTGACTAGAAACGCAAAAATTTTCGGCAATTTAGCAAAGGGGCACTTCAATTAGAGGGGTACTTCAAATAGAGGGGCCTTTCAATTAGAGGGAGCAGTTTTATTTTTCGTGAGGCCTCTAGGGGGCGCTTCAATTAGGGGCCCTTCTAATACAGGTTTTACTGTAATTCTACTTTTAACACAGCAAATTTCATGTTTATAACGTCCTGGATGTTGAGTTGTTCGACGCCAATAAACCTTGCGGTCGATTTTCTGTTTGAAAGCGCGTTTAAAAAATTCCGAATTACTGAAAGCGCATGAATTTGTAGTAAGGCTTCCATTTCGGTCGGTCGAAAATTGCCGACCGCCGACCGACCACCGACCCAGCCAACCGGCAGCCGACAGAGCTGACCGATCGGTCGGCGCGCCAACCTTTCGAGTGCATTTGCGCGTCATGGTGTATGCGTACGCTGCATCGCATTTTACGACGCACGATTTTTTCAATATTCAAAGATTAAAAACTGTTTTATTAAGAATTTAATTCATATTCACTGCAGTAAAAAGCTATAATACTAAAAAAATAAAAGATTTTCGAGATGAAGGAAGAGTCATTGGATCAGGATATGACAGGTTACAGAGACAACGACTGAATCGCCGTATTCTTCTTCGGATCGATTTTCGTAGAATATTTAATACCTACATGATTTTGTTAACAAAAACTTCTGATTTTTATTCTAAAAAAAGGAAAAAAAAAACGGAGAAAATCATCAAAAGAACCAATATTGAAAAAATCGCGCGTCGTAAAATGTAATGCAGCGTACGCATACACCCTGACGCGCAAATGCAATCGAACGGTTGGCGCGCCGACCGATCGGTCAGCTCGGTCGGCTGTCGGTCGGCTGGGTCGGTGTCGGCTGAATTTGCCGACAGAATGGAAACCTTAATTTGTAGAAACCGTAGCTCTTTTCGCTTCAAGACCGGCTATGCGTCTTTAAACAAAAAATCGGTCACAAGGTTCATCGGCGTCGGACAACTACTGAAGTTGATATAACTTGGCTGAAAATTTCTAAAAATTTCAAAAAGTTCCTAAACACTATTTCTAACATATCCTAAAATTTTTATCAAAATCGGGGCTCACAAAGTGTTGAAGTTATCTTGTTAGTAAGTTTCTAATACAACAAGATTCCAGATGAGATGTCCTTCTTTGCCAAATATGTATAACTCATCATCATCAATCGTCCCCAAAACTTCGATATACTTGTAAATTATTATTCCTTTTTTTCTATTTTTCAAACCACACCGGTTCCCTCGCTCTCTTTTTCTCTCCCAGTCAGTTATTTTGTTCAGATTCATAGTCATTTTTCTAGTCGCTCAGATCTTTTTCATCAATTATGCTTTCCAATTACACACCCATCCTCCTCCCGCCGCAAAAATCTTTCCAGATACCCATCCCGTCTTTCTCGATGTCTCAATTTCTTTGTATACCGGTAGCACCAATTTTTCTCTCAGACGCCTCGATTTTGAATAAATGTTAATTATCATATCTATATATATATCTTATTACATCATCGGAAAAGAAAAACATGACACGAAAAATCATTGATAATAGTGAAAGAACGAAAAATGACCGGTTTCTTGAAATAAATAGATAATTATATAAAATATTCTCTCTATATCAGCATCTAATCAGCAGAATTTACAGCTCTTTGCGCATTTCTGTCTCATATAATCTTTGAAAATCGTTTGGGTACACATTCCACTATTCGCCCAACGCTCACACCATGTTCTGGAAATTTGAAAAATTTTAAACTTCAAAAAAAAAAAAGAAAACTCACCTGGCATCTTCACAAACTCCTTTTTCCGTCTCTTCGGTTGCACACTTTCGGCAACTGTTAGCACAATTCTCGGTCATGAACCGAACACTGAATCGGCTTTCACAGTGACCAGCTCTAGCTAAGAATTCGCAGTCTTTTCTTCTGGAAATAAAAAAATGAGTCACTTTGAATACGATAGGAAGATTATCTTACCGATCTTCACATTTTTCTTTACCAGAATGTATGGAAATCAATGAGCTCAGAATGGAGTTGTCTCCTCGATCTCCTTTATCTCCAATTGAGGACCCAATTTCTCCTTTTTTAGAGATGGGACTAGCAGTCTGAAATGATTGGTGTATTAGAGATGTAAAATTTAATTGTCACAAAGATGTAAAAAGTTTACTTACAGCACTTGTGACTTTCTTTGTAATGCTCTTTACTCGTTTTGAACTCTCTACTGGAGCCATTGTGGTGGCTGAAAATTTTTTAGAGTCCTGGGCAAAATAAGAAAGGTATAAACTCACTGAAACTAGGACAGTTATACAGCATGTTAATCTTGTAGATATCATTTTCACTGAATCCAGTTCTCTGTCCGATTTCCACATTTTTCTCGATTGGCTCAATGGTTGGTTTTCCATTCTGAAATTTGTGAGGTTTTCAGTTTTTAGACCAATCAAGAAAATTAGTTTTTCTTCAAATTTTGAAACAAGAACTCTGGTTCGGCCTTTTAGAAATTTTTCAGAATGTCGAAAATTCCAATTCTCAATAGTTCGGAAACTCGGGATTTCAGAATTTTCTGAAATTTTGAAAGGAATTTTCAAAAAATTCGAAATAATTTTCCAAAATTTTGAAATTTTGGAATCTTGGGAATTTCCGATTTTAATAAATTTGGAATTCCAGATTTTCGGAAAAAGCCGATTTGAAAGTTTTTGCAATTTCGGAATTTTCGAATTTTGAAGTAAATATCTTATTTCTATACAAAAACGCAAAAAACTGATGAAAATTGACAGAAAATTTTCAAAAGTAATTACAATAAATATCAAAATTGATTCCTTAGTCGTAGGCTAATTTTTGACGTGCGCCTTTCTTTTTTTTTGACATACCGTAGTCCAAAAATTTCTAATTTTGATACATGAGTTTGGATAAATTCCGATCGGAATCGGATTCCAAAAATAGTCTGAAATTTCGAAATCCGTTGAAAACATCCCCACTCCTGTATCCCTCCTTTATAATAAACTTACCTTACTAAACGCAGTTGGAGCATAATGCATCACAGATCCATAATCATATTTTGTCCCCAAATGATCGATCATATTAAGCGAATATTTATCAAATTGGTCCTGCAGTCCTGCTTCCACATTACTCCAGTTGATTTTCACATACTCGTCACGATCTGCTCGACTTTGTTCATGGAAGAATCCAACAGCGTGCATAAGTTCATGGATAATAATTCCTTTTTGGATACAACCATCACCAAGACTCACTGGTTGTTTTCCACCTAGAAATAATATTCTTACAGTCCATTTTCTTAAATTATTTGTGTCCTACCGATTCTCCCAACCAACGAATAGCAACCATCATCTGGCACAATATGAATATAATCCAGATCTCCTGCACTTTTCGGTGAAAAATCAATGCAAGTCTTTTTTCGGTACTCTTCAATAGCTTCTGCGATTTTTGTTCGGCTATAGGAAGAGTATTGAGAACTGATTGTGTATGGGATTCGAGCTTGCTCCCATTTCAAATAAGTCTGCCTCACTGCATTTCTCTGTACTCCGAAAATCCCGAATAAGGGGCTATCACCAAGAAAAGTGTTAATAGAGCGGGAGTTGAGACCACTATTGGCTGAAAAACGGGAATTATGGATGCTTCGGTCAATGAAAAAGTACCGTACCAATATCTCCTTCGAAACGGAGTGGGTTGTACATAGCGGAGTCGTTGACAAACCATTGGTCATTGTCACGGAAATGGCCAATCATGTTGAAATCATAATCAGTTAGGATGGTTTCTTGCTCCGGGATGGAGGGGTCGAAAACTGTAAAAAGCATTCGTCTTGAACCTGAATGTGACATGCAGTACCGATAAGTACGATACACAAACACACAATTTCCAGTTAATTTTCAGTTATTTTGACCATGTTCAAAATTCATGTCATTGAGAAATCGGCAAATAAGTGAAAAAATAGGAATTTTCAAAAAATTTTGCGAATGCAAAAATTTCAACCTAGATCTGTTTTACACCCTCCAAAAGTTTGAACGTGATTGGAAACTAGACAATTGAGCTCCAGATTCTAGAAAGTAATGTCAATCAACTGAAAAAATGCGTATTTGTGAACCTTACTGACTGGTACTGAATTATCTCAAACTGCTAATTTCATCAATATGACCAAACCCTTTTTCTGACATCCTCCCCCGACTCACCCGATTATACTGTGCAAAACATGACCTGATTAATGCAAAACTGCTCAAAACAAAAATTAACCGGGGACACAAAAACACGCTGCTGGCTGATGATGATGTCGGTGATGGCATAAGTGAAAGTGTGTGTGACGAATCGGTTGACGACGAAAGTAAAAAGAGGCAAACGCGGGAGAAGGTGAAGGGTGGGCGCGGAAGCGATAGAAGGGCAGCAACACACCGTTGGCAACAGCAGTAGGCAGTAGACACAATTTATTCCGGAAAACGCTCGTATTATGGCCTTCTAGACCTGTCAAGTGTAGCAGAGTGAGGCCAAATAGCTTGTTGCAGAGACCCTGCAACTATTAAAACTTGAAGGACAAAAACATCAAAGAAACATAATTCACAAAATTGTTCTTAAAACAAGCTCGGACTAAACTCAAAGTCAAGAAAAGTAGACTTATTCTCTTCCGAAAGATTAATGAGGAAAAGGTGTTGCTCGTAATAGCGAGGCGGAGTTTATTTCTGGTTCTTAGTGTCCAGCTCATGGCAAAATAGAGTCACTCCCCCACCAATAATCAATTGACCGCCCCACCAATAATCAATTGACCGGTGTGTAAATAAAAATATCGGAAGCCAGAGGTGTCACTGATATCCGCATTTTCACCGCCAGCGGGCCAAAATAAATCAATGATCAAATAGTGTGCAAGGTGTTAAGGACAACGGCAGCGCAGCGAGCAGGAAGTTGAAACAAAACGTTTCGGAATACGAAGTTGTTGGGGCTGGGGAAAAAGTCTAGGAAAGGAAAAAACGGTCAGTTTGCTTTTTAAAGATTGGAATGATTTATGAGTAATCTTGAATGATTTATGATTTGATCTAGGAAAATGAACTACTGTATGATATTTTCATGCTCGAAGTAGGAAAAAACACCGACGTTCTCGTTCCAAACGACTTCTTTCCATAGAAACATCCTCATAACTAATTCAGCGTGTTTCTAACGTAATGTTCATAATGTATTCAAAAAAAAACTAAAACATTTGAGCAAGCTTATGTTAGATTATTTATTATCTGAATTAATAACAATAAATTTAATTTTAAATGTGATTTTTTACAGATCATTACAGTTTCTGAGACCATTGGAAAGGAAATTTTTCTTTTAACTTTAAAAACACTCTTTCAATAAAGAAAAAAGTGATTTTTCATTAATTATTAGCATTTGGTGGGCGCTCTCCTGCTACTGACGACGCAAAACTCTCGGCTGAGAACGATTTTGGAACTGCACTGTAGTAGTTTTGACGCTCGATCTTCTGAAGACACTCTTGAATGTCACACGCAACGTCCAATCTGAAAAAAAAGAATATTTCAGACTAAAAAAATAGGAATCCTGATGATTTGTTAATTTAGAAAATATCTTAATATTGTTTTCTTCCAGTTATCCGAGTATGTCATTCATTAAAGCCTTCCAGGGAATTTTGAGCAATAGTTGGGCGTCTAATTGGCATATTGCTCACGTGGGAAAGGGTCTGGCAAGGTTTGGGCAAGTTTTCGGCAAAACTGAACAATCAAGTGGTCTTATTTTCCAGTGGCCAGCTTATGGAACAAATTTGGTTTGCTTTGGGACGTGATTTGAGCGAAAGTACGGTGTGGCAAAAAAAAACTACAAGCTTTTCTCGTTTTAATTAGAAAATGGTCGTCCTTACTCCCACTGTGTGGGACACGGAAGCTGTTTTATACAGAAACTCGCCAAAAACTCCCTATTGAAGTTATTTTTTCGGAAAATAGCTATCATATTTTCGTTATTTTGCTTTGCAAAAGTTTAAAAACACACCCTTTCTCCATTTGCCCAGCGTTCGCCGCCTCCTCGTTCACGATTCTCTCCATTACACTGAGTAACTGAAAAATTGAGGTATTAAATAAAATAATGTTTCCGTAACTTACTCTTGCAGTGTTGTCAACTATTGGTTCTACGGCACTGAAGTGTTTTGCGCTGGCTAGTAGTGTCTGAATGAATTTTCTTTTACTTTTCATATTTCTTCCGATTATTTTTACCTCTTGAGCTTGTGAGCCACTCATCGGAATCGAAAGAAGCGCCGATCCATCGGAAATAATTTCTAGGATTTTTTGCGGTAATTTAGTCTTACTTTCCAGCGATATAGTTGCCATTTTTCGCCTGAGAAAAGGTTGGGTGAAAATCAATAATGTGGCAAGTCCGGGGGAAAAGGACGAAGAGAAGAGGAGAGAGGGTGTACTGAGAGAGCAAGAAGAGAAAAAGGAGGAAACAAAGAGTAATAACTGCTGTAGAGACCCTACTCCGGGCAGAAGACGTTTGACAATGTGTAATTAGTGATCTAGATTCCCAGAAGGGACCTAGATTTCAAAGAGGCTACTTGCGTTACGGTACATGGGAATCGGACCATTTCGTGATGTGCAAAATAATCTTGGAATGCGAGATTTTACTTCAGGAACTTGAATCAATCAAAACTCAATTATAAAGGAACATCATTAGCCGAAGCCAAGCATTACATCGAAGAAAAATGATGACATCTGACAATATTGGTGGGGGGATTTTCTGTGAATTGAGAAGAAAATGTTATAAAAAGTGTCCATCTCCAAGAAGAAAAGAGTGGAGAACGGATTTGTCGTGTTTATCAAAAAGGAGTTTAAAAAAGTGAGAAAATAGAAACGCAGCAGCATTTTGGGGGGACGGAAGTGAAAAGAGAAAAGGCTTGAATTATTGTTCAATCGGGCAACACGTAATCAAAAAGGCACGAAAAGTGTGTGGAATTATCACAGAATATATCACTTAGTTGAACAGTGTAGGTACGGATTCGCTAAAAAACAAGAAAAAGAGCAAAAACAAGACGAGATAGGGAAGACAACAAAGCGCTAAAGCAAGAAAAAATAAGTCAACAAAAAATTAAATTCAATTAAAAATTCAAGACCGGTTGTTTCGCGTAATTCCAGCCATGAAATTGCTCAACTGTTCTTCGTATCTGAAATTTAAAAATTAATTTAAAAATCGAAAATTCTCTCTGTTACCGTTTCTTGGACTCTGTCACCGCCGAAACTAAATCAGACACGAATTGCTTCTGATAATAAGTTTCAATTTGTTTGTATTGCTTGTCCATAGAATCAGAATGATTCACAAATGTCTTCAAATTCTCTTCAACCCATGTCATCGAGGAAGCGAGGCATGGCTTGCTAGCATGTGGAGCATTGGAGTAACTGAAAAATGTATTTTATTGATTTCTACTGTTCCCTAGGCACTTACGTCTCAGCCATTCCAACTTTAGCAAGCTCATTTCTGAACAATTCGAAGAATAATCTTCTAGAGCTCTTGAGGGAGGTAACATGATCCACTGCTCCAACAGACTTCATTCTTTGCCATCTATCGTGAGCATCAGCAAACTCAACAGCAGCATTTCTGTAGACTTTGCTCAACTCGTCGAATCTCTCCTTGGCTTGAATCTTAGACTTGGAATCAGCAGCAAGCTCAGCGTAGGTCTGGTCACATCGCTTCATCATCTCGGCGATCACTGGCTCACGGAACTTGATTCCAACAACAGCGTTTGGCTCAAGGATACCTCCACGGGATCTCTCATCAGCCACAAGATGAATGAATTCTGGACGGATCTTGCTATCGAGCACAGCCCATGCTCCTCCACGGAGCTCTCCAGCCTCTGGGATGTACACAATGACTGGACGGTTGTAGGTGGCCAATGCGTCAACGATCTGTGCTCCGAACTTCAAGACCATGTCATACATATCCTTCTGTCCTCCAGAGAATCCACGGAGGGAAGCGATAATAATGAGAGGCAGGTTTTCCTTGTTCAAGTCATTGATAGCTTCAGCGGTCTTGAATGCAGAGTCTGGGTACCACACCTGTCCGGCACGTTGGATGTTCTGAAGTTGAGAGCCCTCAAGAGCAGGGTCAGCTGGAACAGTAGTCGTGAAGTTGCGGAACTCAGAAGCAACGATTCCAATTGGAATTCCACAGAGTCTAGCTCTTCCGGCAACGATGGACTTGGCCCAGTCTCCGCAAATTTCATCGAAAGACATAGTGTCACAGATTCCAACCTTGTTGGTGAGATCCTTGGAGTCGATGAGGTCACGAACATCGTATTGCTTTCCATCTCCTTCAACTGGGACCTTGACATCACGAATATTGGAATCATTTCCGTATTGCGAGAAGAATGGGAAGCTAGTGTTGTCGGTTGGCAAGAACGACATCCATCTCAAAACTTTAGCGATTCCTTCCAAATCATTGTCAACAACAGAGTGGGTGACTCCGTTGCGGAACATGACTTCTGGTCCACCGAGTTGGTTGTTGGAAGTGTAGACCTTCTTTCCGAGAAGGGTATTGAGAGCTTCGTATCCGGTGAGGATAAGATGGGATTGCTTGTGTTGAACGATTCTGTGAGCAAGACGAGCAGTGTAGGCTCCGATTCCCACCGATCTTCCGGTGACGTAGCAGTATGTTGGGACCTCGAAGTAAGCACGAGAGGTTTCTCCAGCAATCAATCCAGATCCTTGCAAGTTTTCAACTCCAATCTTTTCGTTCTTAGCTCCAATAACAGCTACAATCTTCAATCTTCCGTTATCCAATTCCTCATAAACAACTTGTCCCTCAACATCGGCTTTGCATTCTCCATCAACGTAAATGTAATCGTATCCTTGGTCTGGCTTGTCTTCATTCTTTAATTGAACTTTGACAAGCTTTGAGATCTTTGTGGAAAGACCAATGCGAGCTCCAGAGTTCACTGAGACATTGACACGTGGAAGTTTGTGTTCACGAGAGTAAGTAGAAGCAGCGGCGAAGAGATCATCTTCAGCAGTTCCGAAGGATCCTGATTGGAAGGTCACATCGTTTCCAATGAGAACAACGTCATATCCTTGTGGCTTTTCTGGAGTATACAAAGTCATAATCCAGGCAACCATTCCACATTTGTTGAGAGCATTTCTAGCACGTTTCTGGAGAGTTTCAGAGTCTTCGATTTGTTCAAGTTTTCCGTTCTCGAAAACAAGTTCACGAAGAGTAAAGAACTCTCTCCATCTTCCGTCATGAAGAGCTTCGGCCATGGATGGTGGCAGAGAAGCAACACTACGATTGTAGGAAGACACATCCAACTGTTTAGCAGTGTTCCATGAATTGACAGCAGCCATTCCGAAGATAATTGGGAAGTCGTAGATGTAGGAAGAGTTGACTCTGCGAGAAGCGAAACGCTTCTTGTCGATGAGTTGGACAGTTGGGTAGACTCCAAGAGATTGGTCAAACTCGGTGATAACTTCGGTGGTTACTCCAGTTTCATCACGAATCACGATTCTCTTATGACCATCAATCGATTCGTAGACCATCTCCACTTCGCTGATTTGATGTTTGGCAAGAATAGCCTTATGATTCTCGACTTCCTCGGTGATGCATTCCTTCATGAAAGCAAGATGCTCCTCGGAAGCAATAACTTCTTTAGGCAATCCCGGGCAGGAGATGAAGACGAAGACATGGTTGGCAGCGAAGAATCTTTCTTTTCCTTTCTTGTCCTTCTTGGCTTTTGCGACTTGAGCAGCAGTGCATGCGTTGTCGAGAGCAAGGAAGACAGCTTCAGATACCTTCTTCTGACTGAAAATATATTTTCCTATTGCAAAATCTCAAATGATTCAAAATCAACTTACACATCCTCAGCCTTATTTCCTGGAATGATGAGTTGTTGACGGATGAACAATTTGGAGAACATGCTCTCTGCATCATCTTGTTGGTAAGCTCTAACAGAGGAAAGACCAGAGAGAACTGGATACGAGTTAGCTGGAAGACGATCCTTCTCAAGTCGGACTTGTTCAAAGATAGTCAGCTGTGGTAGTGGTCGTTCATTGAGAATCAAGACAGTGTTGACACGGTTGACCTTGAAGTTGTTCTCAAGATTCTTCTTGATGTCAACTACAGCGTTCTGGGCGTAGCAGATCATTTGCTCTTCTTGGTCGGTAAGAGAGGAAGCATCCTGAAAATGATTCAAATGATATTTTAACTTTGTAGAGTATTAACTTACATGATGAGCAGATTTGTCGTTCAAAATTTTGACGAAAATGGAAACGTTGATCTCCTCATCCTTCTTACAGTAAGAAGCAAAGTTCTTCTTGAGGCAGTCCAAGAAATCTGGGTTGGTGAAGCAGTCATTGTAAGCATCAGCGTCGATGGAAAGACGGACAACAATGAGCTTGTTTCCCTTGAGCACAATTTTATTGAAGCTATCTGGCTTGGATAGAAGATTGAAGTGACTGATTACACAGCCCATTTGTGGAAGAGTGTAAGTGTTCTCCATATATCCTGGATGAGCTGAAATGTGCATGGCGACGTAGCGGTCCAAGCACTGGGATCCGATTTCTGGGTCGAAGAAGTACTCGTGGATAACCTTCCATCCGGTGGAGTCTGGTCTTTTGGCAAGCGGTCCATTGAGCCACAATTTGACTTCTTCAACAGTAGCTGTGAGTCCACTGGCGGTGATTTCGGTGAAGTTTTTCTTGTAGCGCAAGTTTTGGAAGATGAGAAGAATTTCTCTAGCCAAGCTGGAGATTTCTTCGGTGTGATGGAGGTTACCAATCTCACGAAGGTTGTCGAGAAGAGATGGAATGAATTTGGATCCAGTTTGCTTCAATGCCTCCAGAATAGCCTTCATGACAACATTTTTGGACTTCAACTTGAAGTGAGAATAAATGGTCTGAACCACAGCATCTCCATTTGTGTTGTTCTCCTTGATTTCAGCAACCGAATCATCGTATCCTTTTCCTTCAAAGTACTTCTCAACACTGATGTAGTCACGAAGAAGACTGTTGAGCACTCCAGAAGCGAATCCATTTGCTCCATAGGCGAACTCGTTGACAGCGGCATCAAATTTGTTATAGTCGTCAGGAGATTCAAGCTTGTATCCATTCAACACCATTCTGAGTTTGTCTCCAGTGAAGCATGGCTTCTCGACAACATCGAGGAACGCTTGTTGCACACTTGGTGAGAAGTTTCTGGTGACGTGCAAGATGGTTGGCTCCAAAATGAATCTAGAGAGATTGCTGACATTCAAGAAACGGAAAAGTTCGGTGACAAGAGCATTGACTTCAGCTACCCCTCCTAATGGAACGGATCCAGCCAGAATGTTGCGGCATTTCTGAAAAATAAACCGTATTTATTACTTTATCCTGTAAGAATGAATTTACCTCCAGGCAAGCGTTGTAGAGATGAACTTTGTTTTCGTTCGACGAGTTGTCGGCAGAAGACCACTCTGGGAATGTTCCGAGGAATTGTGTTGGGCGGTACATGTCGGAGTCTCCTTGATCCACAAGTTTTCCAATGATACTTCCTGGGTAGATAATGTCTCCTTCTTGGGCCGTTTTCACAAGCCTTCCTGGAGCCTTTTTGACTTCAATCGGGAAGACAATCTTCATCGACTCAAGAGTGGCATAGCAGTCTCCAACATTAAGATACTCTCCCTCTTCCCTTTTGTAAGACAAGAACTTTCCGGTGACATTGGATTTCAGAACACTTGGATCGTTATCCTTTTCAAAAGTGATAGTTTGGTTTGCGATGCTGACCTTGAATTCCTCAGGAGTTTCTTCAATATTACAACGGAACACGCTTCCTCTGTGAGTTGCCATTAAGGTTCCTTGGTCTCCAAACTTGACTATATTGACGTTAGTATTGGAGCCATTGAGAAGGATCACGTAAGAGTCAGGAGCACTACGAGTCACCTTCACGGAATAGATCTTTAGGTCACGGACAAGATCAAAAAGAACAGTCTCGGTAAGGTTATTTGGCGGCAACACTTGTCCTCTCTCGATTGCTTCTTGGAACTTGCCGAAGACTTCGCTGATTCGTGCATGACCGATAACGGCGGCACTGACAGCAATGACGTCGCTCACCGGAATAGTGCATTTCTGCAAAAAAAAGGTCATGATACGAACCCGAATGAAAAGTCTAAAACCACAAACCTGTTTGATTTTTCTCGCAATTCGTTCGTCCAACCATTGGGTGTTGAAAACGTTGTTGGCGAAATCAGGCTCGTGGATCAAGTCAATAAGGTAGGAGACTTGCGATTTGAAACTTGCTTTGATTTCCATCTCCTTCAATGCGCCAACAATGTTTGCGATCGCAATGCGTCTGGATGTTCCGCGTGCGAACAAGTGACCAAACTGTGAATCAGCGTATTCGTGCACTTGTCCTCCTCCAGAAACTGAGAAGTAAGCCCAGGCGTCTTGAGATGAACGGAAGTTAAGCTCTTTGACTTTTCCTGTGGATGGACGGAAACTGTCATCTGGGTCCTCACTGGTAATACGAGCAGCAATTGCGTGAAGTGGAGTATCAACAAGAGTTTCATCTGGCAGCTCACAATCTCCATCCTTTGGGAGGTTGTAGAGATTACGGATGTCTGGAATCTTGTGAAGTGGAAGTCCCATAGCGATTTGAATCTGAATAGCTGGGATGCTGATATTGGAGATCATCTCAGTGGCTGGATGCTCCACTTGAAGTCTTGGGTTGAGTTCCAGGAAGAAATAGGTGTCATCTTCGGGCAAGTACAAGTACTCGACAGTTCCAGCTGACTCGTAACCAACATATCTGGCAATTCTGACAGCGTCCTCTTGCATACGTTTCCGAGTCTCACTTGGAGCAACACAAGCTGGAGCCTCTTCAATGATTTTTTGGCAACGACGTTGGATAGAACAGTCACGGGTGAAAACAGAGATAACGTTTTCATAGCGATCAGCGATGAGTTGGACTTCAATGTGTCTTGCGTTCTCAACACACTTCATCAAGAAGATTGGAGAGTTGGAAACTTCAAGTCCGACTTCTTCGAACATGCTCTTGAAGTCTTCAAGCTTGGTGCACTTTCTGATTCCCTTACCACCTCCTCCTTCGGAAGCTTTGATCTGAAAATTAAAAGTTTTCTGATATTCTGCCAAGCACATTTTTCATATGGTACACGAGCTCGGATGTATAAGGTACAAAGTGATTTAGGCGTTCAAAATTCAAAATTCGGTGGGCGCAAAATTCGATTTTTCAAGAATTTTGCACCCCTGAATTGCTTCGTACTCCAATGACCCCTCAAACCGAGTAATCTGCCCTAATTCAACTCTTACCATGAGTGGGAATCCAATGTTATGAGTCTTCAGAGCTTCCAATCCTTCTTGGTAAGTCTTCACACAAGCTGCCTGCAGCAAACTCTTTGGTACTTCCACAAAGTCTCCCTTGTTACGTGTGGTCTTCTCCATGGTGATTCCAGATCCCGACCAAGCGATAGTCGGAATTCCGACTGTTTGGGCAATGATAGTACTGGCGATTTTGTCTCCCAAACTGAACATGGCACTGGCTGGTGGTCCAATGAATACAATATTGTTTTCAGCGAGTCTTCTTGGGAGCTCTGGGTTTTCTGAAGCGTGTCCCCAACCGGCCCAAACAGCGTCGACTTTTTCTGCTTTGGCATGTCTCAAAACTTCGTCGACGTTCGCGTAGTTGTTCTTGTTGCTACCCGATGGGGAGGTGGCCAAACTTGTCGCGCTTTTGAGGTATTCTGTAATAATCAGTTGAATTTTGAATTATCATTTGTGTGTTTTATGATCAGCGTTGTGATTATCACGTGAGTTTCAGATGCAATGTCATACCAGCAAACACCTGATTCTTTTAGAACTTACCGGAATTGGATTTCGTCTCATCTTCAGTGGTCATACAAACGAAATGAATAAGCTTATCATTACGGAATGTGTGATTCAGGAGTCTCATGATAGTGGTCATACAACGAACTGCAGCAATTCCATTGGTGGCAACGAGTAGCTGAAAAATCAAAAAACATCCAAAAATTACAAAAATCGAAATTACCTTTCTAATAGGTCTTCTCTTTTCTGGGTCATTGACATTTTGCTCTACGAATTGCTCAATACTCTCGTATGGAGCAGCTCCGTCACTGATCAGAGCGTTTCCAGTGACAGTGATCTTTCGGATATCAGGTTTATGACCGTTAACAGACATGTTGAATGGTCGTCCAAGATCGGAGACGCTGTAATGATTCAGAAGTTTTTTTTTTTGGAAAAAAAAATTGGCAATTATAGTGAAGATGTGGAAAAAAAGGGAGATAGACAAATAGAGAGACACATAGAGAATTTATTTTCTCATCTGGATCGTTACTTCTTCTTTTACTTTCTTTTGTTGTTGACAACTGTTTTGGCCGGGCCGGTTTACACAAATCTGAATCAGCCTGGTCGAACAATTTCTTTTGGGGAAAAGCATCAGAACTAGAATTTTGAGGGGAAAAAGCCGAAAAAAAATGTATGGCGAGAATGGTGGTATGATGGCGGAATAACTGATAAAAAGTTAGTCGGAACTGATAACAAATTTGGAAACGAAAAATGCGAACAAATATAAAAATTGAGCCAGCGATTTTTTTCCTTAGCTTTTGGAAAATTAAAAGTGTCATGAGAGGGTCGGTTGGGGGCGACGACAGTTTCTTCTCTGATAATGTACATGAAAAATCACGCCATCTCTCTCAACTTTCTCTCTATGATATCGAGACTTTGGACACTCCATTCGATTCAATGAAATTTGACCTCATTTGAGACATTATGATGTTTTAAGTTGTTTTTTCTAGCCATATATTCTCTATTGTCTGCAAATCATAAGGATGAGTTTGATGAAGGAGGAACAAGGTCAGGTTGGGTCAATTGAATGAACTGAAACTGTAAACACAAGAAGAAAAGGAATCAGAATTTAAAAAAAAATCGGGCAGAAAATTCTCGAACCTATTCTCTATTTCAACCCCAGCAGAATACATCTCATATACATAATTTGTGAAGGTACAGGAAGAAAAGAGGAAAAGGTGCGTGAAAACTCATACGACCGAGAAATGACCTCGAAGAGGAAACGACGATCGCAGTTTTGACCGATTCGGGCCGTTTTCTCGCGAGAAGAAGAAGAAGGTGGGGACGGCGGGGCGCGCATCTCTGTATCCAGCCCCAGACAGTGGGTCACATGAGGATCACGGATGATGGAGAAACGGAAAAAGCTTTTCTTCTTCTTCTTCTTTCCGAGCGACTTTGGATAGTCTCACTTCCCACACATTCAGGGATATGATGTGTTCAATCTGATGGTTTGGTGGGAATGAGCATTGTGCAGAAACAAAACATTCTTAAAGAAATGAAAAGGATTTCGCCCACACATACCTCTACCTCTGGAATGTTGTCGAAGCGAATGGGGATGGAAATCGAAAGAAAAAACGAAAAAATGTGAAAGGCTTGGGATGGTTGGGGAGACGAAGAGTAGGAGGGTAGAAGATATTATCATCAAGATCTCCGAATCTTTTTGCGCAGCCCAAGAAGATGGTCAGGACACGAGAGAAAAGAAAAAGGGGAAATCGCCGAGACGAAGACGACAATACTGTACGTTTTAGGTCCGCAAAACAACACCGCTGTTGCGCATCTCACTTCACTCGTCTCGTTACAGATTAGATCACAATCAAGTCATCCTCTTCCAACCGTTTCTTGTCTCCATTCCCTTTTTCGCTTCATCGTGTAGTTCTACGGGCAGAAGAAAGATTAAAGGGGCTTTGCATATTTTGAGTTTTTTCTAGTGGTGGAAGAATTCGGGGGTGGGGAGACAGGCTAAATACACAAATATTGCCAAAAATTCTTCTAGTTTAAAATAGATAGGATATGCTGAATGTTTCTAACATCAACAACCTACAGTATCAGACAGTAATTACAAAAAACGTATTTTTCAATGAATTTTCGGACATTTTGACCATTATTAAGAGTCTAGAGCTCGGCTGTCAAGTTTCCGATTATGTTGAAATTTTTTGAGGGTTTAAAACAGACATAGATTCAAAACTTTGCATTCGAAAACAGGCCAAAACGGGTGCTCTTCAGAAATCGGCAAAACGCTCAGAACTAGAGATTTTTAAAAAATTCTGTGAATGCAAATTTTTCGCACCCTTTAAAATTTTCAAAAAGGTCGGAAGCTTGGCAGTCGAGTTTCTTCAATTTTTCTAAAAATGATTGAAATCAACTGAAAAATGCGTTTTTGTATATCTTTACTGTAGGAGATGCTAAAGATAAGTTGAACATTTTCACGTCAACAACTTATATCATAAGTCATTTGACTAAAGAAGTTTCTGGCAAACTATGAAAACCCACGTTCCAAACATCACGAAGATCATCACAAATAATACATTATGACTCAGTAAAAGATCTACAGTACTGGCCAAAAATAATGCGTCGACAGGTTAAATGCGTCGGCAGAACTGTAACTTGCTTCAAAATAGAGCTAAAGTGTCAAAGGTTTTTGTAAAATGTAGCAAATAACTTTATAAGAAATATTCGGAAACATTTTTACCCAGAAAACGGAAAAAAAATTTTTTGGCAACAAAATTCACTTTTTGGAAAATTTCGGATTTTTGGATTTTTTTTTTGTTTTCAAAAATCTGACGATTATGAATGTGTAAAATTAATTTTAATCTTGATTTAAAACATTATTCATCATCGTTTCTATTTTTTCCAAATTTTTGAGAAAAAAAACCCCCAAAAACCCGAAATTTTCCAAAAAGTGATTTTGTCGCCAAAAAAAGTTGTTCTCGGTTTTCTGGGTTAAAATGTTTTTGAATATTTTTTCTATGGTTATTTGCTACATTTTACAAAAAAGTTTGACACTTTAGCTCAATTCTGAAGAAAGTTACAGTCAAAAAACCTGTTGAGTCGACACTGTCGACGCATTCTTTTTGGCCAGTACTGTAGATCTGAAATTTGACAAACTGAATAATAGGTAGAAAAAATCAAGAATGAAGCTCAAAAGTCTCATATGACTTCTCACAAAAAGCACTATCAGAAACAGTTCAGCTCATTTTTATAGAAACCGTCTCGCACTTCTGTTCCCTCTCCGTCTTCGCTTGCTCTCAATCATCACGCCACCTTAGCGGGGTTATCAGTGCTCCGAGAGAGGTAAAAAATATCACCCCAAGAGAATTTTTGTGCGATTGCATGTGCAGCACATCGAGCATCAATGCAGATAGTGAGAAAATTGGGGAAAAATGGAATGTTCAGTTCTTTGTGCGTGATCAGCGAACAGTCGGATGATTTTTTTTTCAGTTAGAATGATTTAAGAAGAACTCACTTTTCGGAAAAAGTTAGGCTGACTTGAGAGATGCTGCTGGACAACGCAAGACCCAATGCTTCCAGTAGTTCGGCGTAGTTGATAGCAGCTAACGTCGGAGAGTCTAGATCTATCGTCACGTTGCAATCGTTGTCTGAAATTTTTCTGTTGTTTTTTTTTGGATGAAGACAACTTGAAAACTTGAAGTGAATGAAGTTTTGCCTTTCCTTTTCCTGCCTATTTTTTACCCATTCTGCTTGAATTCCCTTTTTGTTACAACCATTTTCTTTCTCTTACTGTCCTAAGTGTAGCCCATTATTACCATCTACTTGTAGCATACTAAAAAAAACCTTTGCCATTTCACTCCAAAGCGATACAGGGCAAAAACCCCATTTTGTTTTGTTCTCGATAAACCGAAACCGTTTTGAATGTTCATTGTACTTTTTCTCCTTTTTCTTTTCGCACAATCTTTCGACGTAGGTATGAAAGATAGCAATCATCAGTTCCAACACACCAACCGAGTCTCGCCACCTTTTCCTCCTTTTTCTTTTCTCCTCATAAACACACCTTGAAGACTGTCTAACAATACTTCTAATTCATAGATCACTTCTTAGAGGGTGGAGCGTTCAATTGAAGCATCTTCCTCGAGGTGAAAGAACTGGGGCATACATTCTTGACCACACGGACGGACGGCAAACTTTGATTGAACTGTTTTTGGTTGAATGGACAACGTGGTGAATCACAAATCGCCAAAACACACCTATCCGATGACCATCGTTTCGACGTCATTTTGCTTTTCTTTGACGAAATTGTTACTCAGATGATGTCTCATCTGGAGGATGGGATTCAGACAACAAGGAACATTACCAAACTACATATATGTTTGGGTGACCGGTATAGTCGAAAACTAGTTTTGATTTTGGTATGAAAGAGATGGTTGATTTTGAAGACGCCAATGATTTCTCGAAGAATGTGTACTTTTGAAATAGTGCTGGAAGTAGAAACTGATCTGAATCAAAACTGATCGTTCAGATATAGGGGTTCTCGGGAAACATTCTTCAGTTTTGTTACAAATTTGTAATACATTTTCTGCTTGCTTGATGAGAAGTTTATGAAAAATATTTTTCAGAAACATAATGATGAATAGCGGGAATATAAAATGACTGCGATTTTCCTATAAACTGAGTCAGGGGTCCTACCGTATTTCCTCTAATAGAAACCAAACCAAACAGTCAACTTTAAAGGAGGCCAGACAACAAAAATTTCGGGGAAAATTTCAGGGAATGTGTATTTTGCCGTCGCGGTGTTCGCACCTAAAGCACGCAATCCCACGCGCAAACATTTTTATTTTTTTATTTCCCGACTTTATTTTTTCAATTTTTAACGACTTCAAACATTAAAAAAGCTCTTTTTTCTTATTTATTATAAAACCCATATAAAAGTGAATTTTTTATGTAAATTTAAAGTTCTATCGACCGATTATTTTGCCAGTCGCCGGTTTTTTTTATAGGCATGCGAAAAAAACTATTTTCTCTTTGATAACCGTTTCTTCACTGTTCCTATTTATCCATTACTTCTCGTTATTACTCTAGGAATAAAAACTGTTTTATGACTAGGGTTTTCAGAGACGTCTCCATTTTTACTGCTTCCTTCACCTTCCGACGACCAGCCCTGCACGAGGATTGTTTTAATTATGTGGTTTTTTTCAATTGTTATGTCTCTTTCTAAAAATTAATTGTAGTTTTTTTCATAATTTATTTGTTAACATAATAAAACAAGTTTCTTCATTTTCAACTGATTTTGGTACCTCGGAGCGAGGCCTCGGCGGCACGCTGGTAGCCCTTCAGAAATTCCGAGTTCAAAAAGTTCAATCCGAAGGAAACAAGGGAAGAAAAAAGTAAAAACACCAGCAGGGATTGAACCTCTGACCTCCTGAATACTAGCCTAGAGCGTACCCACTACACTACGCGTGTAAGAGGCGACCATCGCGTTTTTCACATTATGAAGCGACGCCGCAGCAGCAAGCTAGTGAAGAAATTAGGGTGACAAAAAAGAGCATTTTTTCGTCCTTGAAGTGTTTTTTTTCAGGTTTTTAAGTACATAGCTATATTTATACTTCAGAGTTATATCTTTTGAGTAAAAATGAAAATTTTGAAATTTTTGATGTCTACCCTCCTTTAAGAAAGAAATCTAGATTATTGTGAAGGATATCAAACATTTGTCAACTGATAAATTATTTATTAAAATATCGCCAATATTTTATGAGTTGGCAATTCTTAGACATCTTCCACGGGAACCAAGATAATTGAGCTTAAATTAACGGGTTGAGTAGGCTTCTACAATTAGAGAGAACACAGTATTTTTGCAGAAATTTTTCGAGACAAGAGTTAAAATTGATGTTTATAAAATCTAAAGTGGAGAAAACTGCAATAGAAATCAAGTGTTGTTTTGCAGAAGTGGGCCCTACTGGACAAGAGGCCAGACCGTTAAAACTTCAATTTTTAACATTTCAGAGTTTTTCCTTCAAAATTGTTTGGTTTCTTACATACCTGGGACAGTTTTTTGCAGAAATATGAAATTAAGTAACATTTTTAATCAAAAAGATCGGAAAATATGTAAAAAAAATCACAGTTTTTCTCTAATTGGAGCGCGCCAAACGTGCAACTTGAGCTCAATTTCCTCTGTTCTCCCGAAAGATATTGAAAACATTCAATTGGTATATTGTTTATCATAGTGTCTCCAATTTTTCATATGTTGACAAATCTTTGATATTAATCAAAAGAACCGAATAACTGATTTCAAAGACCACGCATAGGGTGCACACTTATTGGAAAAAAAACGGTATTTGAAATTTTCGCGTTATAACCGCGGACTGAAAATCCGGCTTGTCTCTGAGCCACTTCTTAACAAAACATTTTTCTGCTAGGATTTATTTTTCAATTTTCTTTTAGTTTTTTTGTGAATCTATATATTTTTTTCACACAATGAAACAATCGAAAATAAACCGTGCACCATGTTTGATAAAAGAATTTTGAAATTTGCACATTCCTACTGGTAATAGAATTTTTCAAATCTGACCCCTATTTCAACATTTCCCGGCAAGAATCAGTCATAAGTTGTTATTTGGCACCGTTCAAATATGTATGAACAGCGTTCAAAACATACTCACCTCCGTTATGTGAATCTGGAAAGTCGTTCCACCGATGTTTAACTGCAAGCTCTTGGCTACACTGTCCGATGAGAAACGATCGTTCTGAAAAATGACTCATTTCTTCGCATCTTTCGCCTCTTTATACTAATCTACGTCCCAAAAAACGGTGTCCCAAAGTACAATTGGCTGAAGTTAGTTCCAAAAACAACTCACTTCTCTGTTTCTCATTTATATTCCGATGCGACATTTCTGGTTCTCTCTGATTGTCCTTTCTGAGTTCTTCTACCTGTATTGTTCTGCAAAAACAGAAATATAATTGTTGTGTACTTTCCAAGGAGAAAAGAAAACATAAGTGGACAAAATCAAGAAATTAAGATTAGGGAACAGCTAAATTAGTTGAAAAATACTCTCAAAGTTTTTGAATTTTCGTTACATTTTATACCAGACAGTTTCCGCTCAAAGACCAAGACTATTCTCGAAAATAAGCTCGAATCATATGCTAAATTAGCTCGGAGCATGATGACATTTCGCTGTATAGTCATCCAGAATCATCCAGAAAAACATGATATACATATATCGAACTGTTTTTCTTCCAACTTTTAGATTTTTCTAGACGTGTTCATGTTTACATACACTTGAAGAAGTCAAAAAACTATATTCAAAATAAGGAACTAATTTTTAGCTCTATTTTGAAGACACGGAACTACGATCCTTCAAAAATAAAATAATATGTTTTAGACCTTGAAAAGTATCAGTATCGTCGCATAAATAACAACATGAAGTGCTGACCAAACCGTGTGACGAAAAAGTGGAATAAATAAATATGCAGCGTACGAACCTTTCCCCTCTCGGTGTGAACCATATTTGCTTAGTGAGACCACAATTGCCAAACAGTTGAAAATAACGGTATAAACTTTGATATCATCACCAGAGCAAACCTTAAACACAACAAAAACGCAGAGAAAAATTGCTGTGGAACTTATGAAATAGTAAATAAATCCTGGATTAGTTTGTTTCAACAATAAGTCAGCACAATTTTCAAAAAGCTAGTCTCAAAAAAAATTGTTTCTCTACAAGTTATTCTAAATTCCAGAAGATGTTGTTATTGATATTAGCTAGCAGTATTATTTTTTAATGTTGAATTATTTGAAAAAATTAAATATCAAGTAGAGAAGCTCAAAAAGTAGAAAAACTCGGACACGTTATATATATTTTTGAAAATCCTAAAAAACGGCATGGTGAGATGATAAAAAAAACGAGAGAAAAAAGAAAGAGAGTGCGCAAGAGACAGAGGATGTCTCCCACTGCTCGGGTGCAATGACCTTGCGACGGACTGCTCTCTATGCAACAGAAACACACACACACACACAAAAAGCGAAAGAGAGAAACCCCTCACCCCCCTCCCGGTTTTTTCTCTCTATGTTTTTGCTGTAGAAAGCTCTGTGTCCCGTTTCTCTCACTACTCTTTTTTATTCACTCTTTTTTCTTCACTTTCACAAAACGCACACATTTGTTTCAAAAGAGCCATTGGCAAGTCCGTCCCGTCGTCCGCATGAAACCAACGTGTATGTTGCAAAATTGTCCCGGAATTAGTTTGGGTCACGTATGAAGCAACGTGTTTTTTGAACAGGTGATTTCCGGACCGAAAATTGGAAAATTGACATCGGCTGTGGATACTCGAAGAAACCTGATTTTTATTTCAGATGGATTATGATTATCAAGTTACGACAAAAAACACGAATTGAAACCCCGAAATATGACATTGGTGTATTTCTGAAAACGGTATTCGATACTTTGAAACAGATTGCAGAAGAGTACAGAAACATGTCATCAAATAGAAGAACGACAATGCCCCATAGTTTTAAAAATGAAAACTGGGTAAATTTTTTTTTTCGAAAATTGTATAGCAAAATTTTTTTTCGATACTAGATTTAATTAGAAGACAGATGCATATGAAAACAGACTGAAGTTTGATTTTCCTTAAATGTTCCAATATAACTCCATTATATACCTACAATTCAAGCAAATTTATCTCGGCTTCTTCATGAAATATCAAAAATATGTCAAGTGGTTCCTAACCCCGTCCTAATTCGAACATCTCCTTGACACATTTATCGCTCGCTCTTAGGTATCTCTTAGGTATATTTTTTCACTTTTTCACACAAGCATTCTTCTTTATCTTTCCTTTCGTTTTTCATTATTTTTTACTTGGTAGGCTCTCCTCCTGATACAGTATGACACCGTTTGAAAACAAATAATTCAAAATTATTCTAAGAAAATTCTGGCAAAAGTTGTTTTCATAGTGTCACCACAAATTCATATACATAGTGTGCAATACGTTGATATTCCTTACAGAAGTCAAGAGGCCGCACCGGTTAATACAATATACAAAAACGTATTTTTAGTTGAATTTGATCATTTTCAGGAGTCTAGAGCTCGGACGTCAAGTTTCCAATCACTTTGAAAATTTTGGAGGTTATAACAGACCTAGATTGAAGGATTCCTTCAGATATAGACAAATAACTGAAAAATTAGGGACTTTTAAAAACATCTGTGAATGCAAACTCGGCTGTCGGCTTGCAACTTCTGGCTGGAAGTTGAGGCGGTTCGGCTTTTGGACGGATCTTGGTCAGCTTTTGGTCAGAAGCTGCCTACCGCAGCAGTGGGACGGAAAATGCTCGGATTTGTGCCGGAATTAGAAAGCGCTGCGTGTTATGCGGCGCGTGCTTCACTCATTGTAAATTTGTTTTCTAAACTATTTTTCTTGCCGTTTCCCAAAAACTTTGTATTAAAGTTGCATCATTCCAATTTTTGGAGCATTTTTGTCAGACAAATACTTCGGAGACAATAACAGACGATGTTCTCGAAACAAAGAGTACGAAACTTATCAGGTAATTTATTTTTTGAATTCTTGTCATAATTTAAATTTTTCAGATAAATAAAATACAAGTCAACATTTTTAATGTCAAGTGCTTGGGAGATATCGCAACTAGAAGGTAATTTTTGTTGAAAAAAACTGTTTTGGAAGTATTGTTTCCAGGAATCAAAGAAATAACTGGATGCTAGAAAATTCGAAGAAAGACAAGAAAGTTAATCAGGTAAATTCCTATTTTCTGAATTAATATCTATTTTTATTCACATTTCAGGCAGAGCCTCTTCTCCCGTATTCATCACGATTTACCTACGACATCTTCAAAATTTAAAAATCTAGATCATGATTTTCTTATTTTTCTGTATTTTTTCCCTAATTTTGTTCATTTTCATGTATAATTTTTTTAATAAATAAAATTTTACATAATGCGCTGTTTCTTTATAAAAACATCAATAAACGCGAACCGAGCCCTGCTGTTAGAAGGCCGGAAGTTGGCCGGTAGTTTGTCGGATCTTGGTCGGCTTCCCACAATGTCTTTGCCGGAATCTGACCAAGTTCCGTCCTGAAGCCGACCAGCCTCCGGCCAGAAGTTGCCGGCGACGCCCGAGAAGTTCTCAATCTAGGATCGTTTTACATCCTCCAATATTTTCAAAGTGATTGGAAGCATGACAGACTCCTGAAACTTCACATTTCAATTTCAGACGGATCCCAACAATCTTGCTGCACAAAATTTGTAATTACTTCTTTGAAAACATGCGCATCTGCAATCGCATTTTTCAATTTTGATGTTTTTTAAATGATCTCCAATCATTATAAAAACTTTCCAGGATTGTTCAATGACAAATTAATATTAAAAAACCACCAAAAAATCGACTCAAAGTGTTCGAACTGCACGCCTAACCCATAATCTCATGACGAATACACCAGATTTTCAATTTCTTTGAAGTCATAAATCCATAAGATTGTATCGAACAGCAAATTCAAAACAAATTTCAATTCAAGTGACGTGGCTTTATAATCTCATGATCTTTGCGGATTGACTGGGTTCAAGTTCAATAGAACAATAGAATTTTCAGTGTTTTAAAAAATTTTCATTTAGGTGTTATACGAATGTAAAAATAGATTAGAAATCAGAGTGAAATGATATCCTGAAAGAATTAATTTTTGAAATCGTATTATTGATGAATCTTTAGAAACTATCCCGAAACATAACTTCAAACCTATTATAACATACATACTTTTGATTTACATGGTTTTCACACAAAAACAGACAGACATCTAATAGTTCGGACCTCCGATGACGTTCACACAATTTCACAACGTTCACTCGTTCCAGATACCAATTAAAGTTCTTTTCAGGACCACCTTCTCAAATTGATATTTGTCCCCAATTTCTTTTCATTGTGCTCTTTTTCTGTATTCAATTTTTAATCGATGTTTACGTCTTCCTTTTTACCTAAACTTGGCTCAAAATGTATTATTCTGGATATAAGTGTAAACGAAAAATAGTTTTCCTTCCCAGATACGTTCTCTGCAAAAAAAATAAAACGTCCCTACACCCCAAAGCAGCCCGATTCACGTCTTTCTTGCTATTTCAGACGCCACTTTGTCTGTATAAGTTGTTCAACAATAGAACAAAAGAATCTGTGAGAAGTGAGAAGAGTGAAGATTGCGAATTTTCTTTAACTGACACTGTTGAAAATGTATGAGTTGGAATGCGTAAATTTGTGTGGGGTGACGTTGGTGTTGGCGACGGAACATTAGAGGGAGTGAAAGCACAAAAAAGACAAAGGAAACTCTGATCCTTTTGGTTTCTTTTTTATTGTTCAGTTAGTTAGAAAGGTACCACCAAACCAAAAAGCGAGAATAATTGAGGTTTCTCAAGTTTCTTTGTGGTACAAGATTCTTGATCAGCATTGATTATCCCCTTTCTTTTGTGCCATTTCCGGAGAATCTGGTATAGACAGCTCCGTAAAGCTCCGTAAAGCCACGTCAACCTCATCATCCTAAACTGAATTTGGCGCTCCCTCCATCGATACTCTTTTTTGTGTTTTTCAGATTTTTCAGATTTCGCCATTCAATTCCCCCAAAAAACCTTTGTTCTTTGTTTGCTGTATCCCTCTCCGCTAATTATGCAAGTGTCATTTTGGTGATTAACCCTCGCCCATTTTTTTTCTATCCATCCACTATTACTCAATCCATCAATCCTACGAGACAAAAACAGTGCGGATGACATGTGCCAGTGCCAGCTTGGAAGAGGGGGGGAGGAGAAAAGTAGGAGGAGCCCGCGCCGATTCTGGAAGAGCCAGCTTCGTCGAGTGAGCTCCGCCTCCTGAAGACTTCATTCTTACGACATGCTCTCCTTTGTGCGTACCCTTATTTTTGCTCTCCTCTGCTCCATCGTTTTTGTTGAGGCCATGCCAAGGTAAGTGCTAGTAATGAGTAACAGGGTACTTATCATATTTCCCCACTCATGAAACCAAGAAGGGGATGTTTCAGGTATGCAAATAAGGATTATGTGGGATAAAGCATAAATTAAGTGCAAATTCTGGTGACGTTTTCGATTTCGGTGACAAAAATCACGTCATCTGGACTCTAACTATGACTTTGATAAATGCAAATGAGCCCTAGGCTTCCTCTGAGACCTCAAAATCCCATGAACACTATTCGGAAGATGTAGTAGATAGCTTTAAGAGAATCACCCAGGGAGTTCAACTTCGCAGAATTGTGTTGAAAAGTTTGAATGATTACCACTGACAACTTTTGGTCTTATTTTTTTTCGGGGTTTTTCGTAAAACTCCAAAAACCTTCCAGACTTTGAAATCATGAGGAACTGGGGGCAATAAATCATGGTAAGAGTGTGGTGGTCCTTTTTACGAGAACCTCGGTTTCGGTTGACAGCTTTAGTACTCAAAATGATGGATAAGGTTTTCTTTCAATCTGATTGGATTCTCTAGAAAAAGTTAAGTTTTATAACCCGTGAAACATAACGTCAACTAGGATAGTAGTAGTCATTAATAAAAAAGCCTCTCTGGAGAGATCGAGAGATTGATCACTTCTAAATCGGAAATTGTAGTAGTCAGTAGAGCCTAAAATAAATAGTCCCAAGTGGGTCCAAAAAAAGTATCATTTTTCAGCATGAGACCAGCAAAGAAGGCAATGCGCAACTCGTTGGTGCGATTCGGCAAGCGAGCTGATCCAATCGGATCCGACGATGTTTTTCTAGGTGAGAAACTCTTTTATGCTTCTCAAAAATTCTAGTTTACACATCACTTATGTTTCAGGCGAGTCCTTCGGATCCGTTGGCCCGTATGAGTATGCTCCGGAGCGCATGTCAAACCGAGGGGGGTCACCAGTCCTGCTCTACTAAAAGCCCCAATTCTTTTAGGGGGTAATAAATTTCAACATTTCTGTTTATTCTTCTTTCTTCTGTGTAGTGATAATCTCTCTTTCTCTCTTTCTATCTGTCTATCACCAAAAAATCTCCAAACCACACCACAAATACCAACCCCACCATCTATAACATCCAAACAGTCGTATTGTAACCGTCTCTCTCTCATTTGAAAGCATTGTGTGTCTCTCTTATAATTATAAGAATATGTTGAAATAAAAAAGTTCATGTGAAAACATCAAAATAAAAACCGGGAAAAGAATCAATCGGTGAAAAATCGTACGGCGGATCCAGCTTCAACAAATTGACCGGGTTCAAAGTTGGATTGTCGGATGTAGATACCAAATGTCATCTGAAAATGAAATTGAAATTAAGGCGCGAATTTAAAAATAAAATTCATGACTTTCATGATCGAAGGATTTTGAAAATTTAAAAGAAAAATGAAACAAAAATAAAACCTTGCAGTACAGATTGATAAAATATACAAACACGTATATTTTCGGCCATTTTGACCATTTTCAGGAGTGTAGAGCTCGGCTGTCAAGTTTTTGATCACTTTGAAAGCTTGAGAGAATGTAAAACAGACCTAGATTTGAAACTTTGCATTCACAGAAATTTTGAACTTTCCTAGTTTATCAGCTGTTTTTGTTTTTTCTGAACGACACCTGTTCTTTTCACGTTTTCAGTATAATAACGCGTGAGAAATAATGCCTTCCAGAAAGCGACAAATGCTGAAAAACTTGGAATTTCCAAAAACTCCTGTAAATACGAAACTAGGTCTGTTTCAAATCCTCTAAAACTTTCAAAGAGTTTGGAAACTTGACAGCCAAGCTCTAGGCTTCTAAAAATGGCCAACAATCTACTGAATTTAATTTTTGCATATCTTATTCACCGGTTCTGTATGTAAACGAAATTTCGAAAAAATCATTTTTCATGTCTCTTAAGCGTTAAAGATCTGCTAAAAATTTTCTATGATTCTTCTCCAAAATTTTTAACCACGTCATCTCCAGATTCCTCTCTAACTACAAACTTTGTACTATTATACTGCGGACCCTGCACATCCGATTGATCATGATCTCTGTGATTCTGCTCTCTCCTCACACAAACCTTCTGCTTATTTCTATAATCTCGAAGAGCCAGTAGCAAACTGGGATCCTTCTCGCCTGTCATCGGATCCACGCATATCATTTCGCATCGAGTGCATTTGTCGACCACCTAAACCGGAACAAACATAATTAAACGGGAAGCTAGTTTTTCCTTCAAAAACCTCAAACTCGAGATTCTCAATAGACAGCCGTTTTGCGGTGTCTTCAATGAATGGCGGCAGACCGCGGACCACGATGTTGGAGCGGAATCGAGTGAGGATGTCCTGGACATCCATATCTGGAAGAGTAAAATATTTATGAGACATAAGTGTTTGTTTGTGAAGAGGAAAACTTTTGAATTCGTCATGCGAAATAAATATAAAAATCTTACTAATGTGTCGGGCAAGCATGTAGACACTAGCTTCATTAATTAACAAAAACGGAGAATCATTGACAAAATTCTTTTTGGATTCTCCTGCAACTCTCAAAAGCCTGCAATTGGTCATATCCAGTGCATTCTCTAGCCATTGTCCAACTTTATCCCCACAATCGAAAGTTGCGATTCTGAAATTTTTTTTAGAAAACCAAAACCATACATTTTGGAGCGAAATTCATCTTACGTCTTTTTGCACACCACTTTGGCATCATTCTCCTTAAGTGACAAGCTCATCGGAATGACCAAGTTGTCGTTCTGATCAAAAGTTTGTATATGTAATTCTTCATCGTTCACGATAGTCGCAGTCAGTCGACACAACTCTGGATGCATTTTCAGGTTTAACGTCACATCGTCTTTAACTACCAAAAACTCTCTATCGTGTTTGAAGCCTCTTGGAGTGAGCTCATAACTGCAGAATACGCAAGTATGATCAATAATAGAGTGATTTATGACTAACCTGCTTTTGGCCACTGAACCAACACTTTTGATCGGAAAACTGAATAAATTGACGACTGTTGGGAGAAAAGAATCAATTTTCAGACTTTGCAGGCTGGGAGAAAACACTTTCTCGCTGCTCACAAAACAGGTGTCAATCATTTGTTTCAGCACTTCGATGTCTTGCTCGGTGGACATTCTTCCGAAGGAAATTCGAACAGCGCCTGTTGGTCGTCCATTAATCAAATCAATCTCATCACCACATCGTTTTCCTTTCTATAACACAAAAAGTTGAAATTTAGTTACATACCTTTTTTGATCATTTTCAGAAGTCCGGATCTTGGTTTTCAAGTTTACGATCACTTTGAAAAATTTGGTTAGTGTAAATCAGGCAACGATCAAAAACTTCGCATTCATATGATATTTTTAATTCCTAGTTTTTCATTTAATTGCCGATTTATTGAAGGCACGCTTTTTTGATGTGTTTTTGTACTGAAAACGTGTAAAACAGGTGTCTTTCAGAAGTTAGCTGAAAAACTAGGAATTTTCAAAAAATTCTGTTAAAGCAAAGATTTTAAGCTACGTCTGTTTTACACTCTCTAAAATTATAAAAGTGATCGGTAATTTGACAGCCGAGTTCCATGCTCCAGAAGGTAAAAGAAAATCAACTGAAAATTAGTTTTTGTATATCTTATTGACCGGCAGTGTAAATGCTAGTGAAACCCACGCTCATATTCTCCTTGATCATTTCAGATGTAATTCCAAGGTACTTTTTACAAGCACCAATGTTGCAAAAACATCCTGTCCTCAATTCAATTCCAAAAATAGCACACATTTTCTCCACTTCTGTGTATCCATAGTATCCATTATCCGGTCTCACCAAGTTGAACGCCACAATAGCGCCTTGAGTTTCAGGAGAGACTTGAATGTGCGGCTGACTATATATCTCAACTACCTTCTTCCCGTTTGGGTGAGTTTTTGACTGTAGAATTTGAACAGCTTTGGATCGGAGGTCATATGTATGCGCTCGAATAGCCTGCATGCCTCCTGGAAACTTGTTTCATCTTTGTAGCAAAAATCGTAAAAAAATAGTTACAAAGAATTGGGTTACGCGTTTAATTGAAAATGATATTAGATCCAAATCACGAAATTTGTTGAGAATTTCTCATAAAACATCCAGCTCATCATAAATGACACTTTTGTTTAAAAGACGCGAGTTTTGCAACATTGAACTTGATAAACAGATGATAAATCAAGAACCCAAAACACAACAGCCTCCCTTGATTTTTTTTCCCATTTTACTCACCACATCTCTCAATCTCTTCAAATCCTTTTTGAAGTTGTGCAATACCGTAGCTATTAATTGTTCCTTCCTCATAAGCTCTTTCAAAATCCCGTATTACAAAATGCATCGTCATTTCGTCAACACTCTGCACCGTTCCTCCGGCGAATGAAGTCTTTTCAATTGACTTTGAGGAATCTAAAACGTATCAGTTAAATCAAACGTCCAATTTCAAAATAGCAGTACCTTTTTTAACGAGCAATGCTCCGATTCCAGTGGGATACCCAAATATTTTGTAAAACGAAAATGCAACAAAGTTTGGACGATGTGCTGTGAGATCCAAACGAGTTCCTGAGACCAATGCAGCGGCGTCCACACAAACGGACCAGCCTGATATCAATTTTTCATTTATTTGAAACGGAATCACTCAAACCTTTATTTTGAAGTTTTTCGATCAAATTGAGATCATATTTCTTCCCACAAAAGTTACTCATTGCTGTAAACACGAACAAACTATTTTCCACTTTTGGAATACACTCTTCTTTCACAACATCTTCATTCACACAACTAATCGCATCAACCTGAAATCATACCCATGTAAAACATTATTGATTGTTTTTCTTCTCACTTTCCCCAGCACCACATGTCTCAATCCTACAACCGAATGATGAGAGTCATTGAAATATGCAAAATTGGATGGTCCACCCTTCAGTACAGCTGAAATCTCTGACACCACTCCTTCCTGTGTCCTATGTCCGAAATTGAAGTTCTCAGCGACAATTTTAAGCGCGTGTGTAGTATTATTCGTAAAAACTACAAAGTAGTCATCTGCGGTAGTATTGAAGTAGCGTAGGATTCTGAACGCAAAAATTGAACGAGATTACGAAAGTTGTATAGTAATACCTATGTCGAGCTGACGATACGATTTGTTGGGTTTTGATAGCGGTGGAATGATGAGAATGGGGGTTGGCAAGAATAAGTTGCGTTTGGAGTTTTGCGAGTTCTTCTAGTTGAGTTTTCGACGGTAATGTCGAGCCAGCATGGTCTAAGTACGGCATCTGAAACATGTTTACCAACGCGTATACCGTAAAACCTGTATTAGAAGAGTCTACTAATAGGAAAGGCTCTAATGGTGGAAGCAACATTCGAGAAGATCTCAAAAAAAAAATAGAAGATACTATTTCCTGAAATTCCTAGGAAATTGTTAAAACACAATTTTATGCTTGCACTTAATAGAATTTCATAGATTTTGAACAAGGATTCACAGAATTTGTTATTAAAATTATAAGAAAAAACCGAAAATAATCAAGAGCCGTTGTAGAAGAGCCATCCGAGAGGGACTTGGAACAATAGAAGGGACTTATCTTCAGAATTTTCCAGAAATTTATATATTAAAACAAACACTTTTGCTCCATAATTCGCTTAGTTTTGGTGAAATTGTTAAGTTTTCATGTGATCGCAAAGTTTTGAACAAAAATTCACTGAATATTTTAATTTAGATTTCGGAAAAAAATGACCGGAGTAATAGGGAGGGAGGACCCTCTAATTTGAAGGCCCTCCGGAGATACCATGAAACAAAATAAGTGCCATTTTTCTAATACATGTTTTACAGTACAATTTAAATGAATAAGAATTTCAAGAAGGATAATCTTGAAGTTTTATGTTTTACGCATAACATTTTTTTTGCAATGAAAAACGTAAAAATAGTAGAATGAAAAAAATGGAAATGCACATTTGATCGCTAATCGCTGTGACCTAAAATTGATAAGATACCACAAACAGCAATCGAATCAAAGATAAGAAATGATGACATTTGTGGGTAACGAACCAGTAACACATGACACTGTATTCATCATATCCCACCACTTTCAATATATGTGATCTATGTGACTCTTTTTCTCTTTGTTTCTCGTTTTTCTGTTCAGTGTGAATGAATTCGTAATGTGTTGCACGCCACGAATTTGGGGGGAAAACTAGATTTTTATTTCCTGTCCGTAACTTTTATGACCTTTTTGCATCCTTTAGAGCTTATCATTATTCTCTGTTTCACCTTTTTCTTCAATTTCAAAACTAAATGTTCTATCAAACCACTGTTTGTCTGTACCCATCAATCTCGTAGACCCCATACCTCTGCAGAAACACACACACAACACAAATACAACCCTCAGTGTGCGCGCGCATAATGGTCCGCAATGTGTCGTCACTTGCGGTGCACCACAGAGCGGGTGTACAGAAAAATATCTGCGATTTGCATTTCTCGAACAGCTCATTTATCTTTTTTTTCCAAATTTTCGCTTTTTCTCACAAAATCACGCCACCGCCTTCGCACTTTTATGTTCACTCAATATGTGTTGTTTCTGCAGAAAACGGGTCCGCTCTCAGTTCTCAGCATGCTCAGCTCAAAATCGTTACTGAATCTAGTTCGCACGAGTCGTTCCAGAATGTCGTCCTCGTTTTCGCCGAAGCCAGCCGAGAGAACCGCGGATCACGCAGCGTCCATTTGGTGAGTTGATTTATATGAATTTCATGCCGAGTAGAGTTATTTACAACACGATTTAGCAAAAAGTCGGTGCTGTTATTCTTAATTTCAACGAAGAAATCATTCCAGGGTCGAATTCACCACACTGGCTGCCGAAACCAAAGCCGTCAATCTTGGGCAAGGATTTCCGGACAGCCCAGCCCCGAAATTCGTCACAGATTTGCTCGAGAACATTTCAAAGCAGCCCGAACTCACCGCCGCCCACCAGTATACACGCGGATATGGTCATCCGATGCTCGTCGACATCCTCGCCAAGATGTATTCTTACTTCTACAATGTTCAAGTAGATCCGATGAACGAAGTGCTTGTCACCGTCGGAGCTTACTTGTCTCTCTACTACGCATTCTTAGGATGGGTCAACAAGGGAGATGAGGTCCTGAGTGAGTGATTATCGATTTTTGGGCCCCGTGAGGACCCCGGACGCATTCTATTTTGGGTTTCAAACGAGTTTATATTTCAGTCATCGAACCAGCCTACGATTGCTACTACCCACAAGTAAAATTTGCTGGCGGTGTGCCTGTCCCAATTGTCATGAATCTCGCTGAAGGAGCAACCAGTGCATCTCAATTCACCATTGATTTTGATGATATGGAGAAGAAGATTAACAAGAAAACGAAGATGCTTGTCATCAATAACCCCCACAATCCAACTGGCAAATTGTTCACCCGCCAAGAACTTGAGAAGCTCGCCGAGATTGCCAAGAAGCATAATTTGATTGTGATCGCTGATGAAGTTTATGAGTTTCATGTTTGGCATAAGAACGACATGGTTCGCTTTGGTATGCTGATACACTAAAATACGAATTGTCAAAAAATTTCTTTCAGCCAGCCTCCCTGGCATGTACGAGCGCACCATTTCTATTGGAAGCGCTGGAAAAGCATTCTCAGTGACTGGATGGAAATTGGGATGGGCTGTTGGACCGAAGCAGTTGCTTGAGCCATTGAAAGCCATTCATCAGAACTGTGTCTTCACATGCTCGACACCAACGCAAATGGCGATTGCTCAGGCATTCCAGCTTGATTGGCCAAAGTTCCTCAACGATCCGAAGAATTCATATCTGGCTACTGGATTGTCGGATGAGCTTCGTGACAAGCGTGACAAGCTGGCGAGGATGCTCGAGGAGGGAAATTTCCGTCCGATCATCCCTGATGCTGGCTACTTCATGCTTGCGGATTACTCGCATCTTAAAGAAGGTGAGTTGGTGTTTATAGGGTTGTAGGAAATCAACACGTATCAATCCATACACAATTTTTAGGCTGAAAATCTGTGAAATTAAAAAAAAGTCAACTAGAGAATTTTCAAAAAATTACGAAATTGTTCCTTTGTAAGTTCTGACATGTATACAGAAACGCGATTTTCAGTTCCTTTTCGGTGTTTTCGAGAGTCTGAAGCTCAGCTGTTACCTTTCCGATCACTTTGAAAATTTTGGAGGGAATAAAACAAACCTAGATTTAAAAACTTGCATTCACTGAGTTGTTTGAAAATTCTTAGTTTTTCAGTTATTTGCCGATTTCTCAAAGAAACCCATTTTTGGTTGGTTGAAGACTGAAGATGTGAAAAACCCAGATATTTGTTAGGAATCGACAGATAGCTGAAAAACTAAGGATTTTCAGAAATTCTGTAAATTTCAAGACTTCAATCTAGTCTCGTTTCAAAGCGCATTCAGGAGCGCAAAAACGAACTATCGTATTTTCGAGCTCTCTTTTAATAATATTTGGCTATGTTCACATAATTTGGACTGTTTTCATTTTGTTTTTTAATGGAAATTGAAAAATATTGATTTGAAATCAGTAGAACTATTAAAAACCATTGAAAATCGGAAAAAATCAGATTGATGAGGCACCAATACTTAAAGATGTTTCAAAAATTCGAGAATTTGCTCTTGCGTCTTTGAACCCGCTTTCAATCGGATTTCTCCCTCTAAACTGATTTCCGACAAAAGTAATGTTTAAACTTCACTTTATTTAGAATTATCTAAACTAGAATCTTTTACTGTGATAGTTGTTCTCAAATATCTGCAGGGTTAGCAGTACACACGTCTTTCTTACAAATCTATTTACAAAAATGCCTGTTTTACTTGAAAGAAAACTACATACGTTTGATCGACATTGTGTGATCCCCAGCATGCTGTAAGAAACAAAGTATACTGGACACAATAATGATAATTTTTAACCTCAATGTATAATTTCAGGACTCAAACTTGTCACCGAGCAGGATCCCGATGACTTTGTCTTCTCCAGATGGTTGTGTCGCGAGAAGAAGCTTGCCGTAATCCCACCATCCGCATTCTACTCATCGCGTGAACAGAAGGAAAAGAACTGCAACATGGTTCGCTTGTGCTATTTCAAAAAGAACGACACGCTCGACGCTGCTGAGGTTATTCTGAAGAAGCTTGGAAAAGAATAAATATAATATTTGCATAGGTGCTTTTTGCCATTTTTCTCTGGGTTCAATTTTCTCTGTTCAATGCTCAATTATTATTTTGTTTTCGCTCTACTTTCTTAACAGTGCAATTTGAAAAACACTTACAGTACATATTGCCAAATTCGTGTTTTTGCGTGTTTTAGGAATACAAGGTTATTGATATTAATGATCTTTATTTTACAATAGATCAGTTTGTTAGCCGCGCCTTTCTGGCTGTTGCACCTTCGGCGCGATTTAACCTAGTTTCTCAGAAAGGATACAATCCGGTTCATAAGATATTAAAAAACGTGTTCTTGAAGTTAATTTCAAGACAGTTTGACCGAATCCAAGAGCTTTTTAGCTCGGTTGTCAAGTGTTCGATCCCTTAGAAAATTTGAGAGATTGTAAAACAGACCTAGATTAACAATTATGTAAGTACACAAGATTTCATGAAAATTCCTAAATTTTAAGATAGTTGCCGATTCCTGAAGGACACATTCTTTCAGTACAAAAACGGGCCGGCAGGGGCATGTTCTGAAATTGGCAAAAAGCTCAAAAATTAGATCTAGCTATGTTTTATACTCTCCAAAATTTTCAAAGTGATCTGACACTTGAAAGCCGAGCTCTAAACTCAGACAATTTTCAAAATTGCCAAAAATCTGAAAAATTTGTTTTTATATTGGCTGGATGATTTTCCATTTGCGACTTTTTCACAATTCGAAAGTTCCAGAAAACTATTTTTCTCTTCGATTTTACAGAAAAATGATTGCGAGGTAAGTCAAAATTCTATTCCTTTCACCTCCAATTATTTCGCACCAGTGGTTGCCTTGCAATAACAAGTATTGCCATTTCCAACGCTGGTCATCAAAACGTGTTATGCCATGATTCCTAAACAGTATGGATTTCTGCCGTTCTTGTTATCACTCCTCCTCTAACAATAATCATCTTCTAGTTGTATAAATAAGTGTCGAATGGCATTCGCGCTGACCACATGAACGAACGCAACGTCAATGTGGGTCATCATGCGTATAATAATTACTGATCCCCCTCTTTTTCTCTTCCCTCTAGTATGTTTATTCCGGATTTACGACTGTCAAAAGTGTAACTATTGTCTTTGAACAAAAAAAACTAAGGAATAACAAGAAAACGTTTTCCTTCTCTAGATGATAAATTCGATTGTGTTCTCTCTATTTCTACTTGCCGAAGTTTTCTCTTAAAAGGAAAGTTCCCAAACTGGTTTTGTGATTGAAAAAAGAAAAAAGTAACCCCCTGACTTGTCGATTTGGTACTGTTAAGATACATAAAAGGTGGGATGATAGAAGACACACACTGGGCACATAACTACATTTCTCTGCTATATTTTGCCAAAATTTTGTGATCGGATTTTTGATCGGTTCTGCTTTATACGGTATATAACCTTATTATACCTATTCTATCCCAGTCGCCGTTTCATTTCTATTATCCTCTACCTTTCTTCTAAACTTTTACATTTTAATTGTTAGCTTTTGCAGTGACTATGACAGTTCTCGAAAATGATATATCACCGGAGGACTTGAAAAAAATTAAAGAGCTTCGGGAACTGGTCAAGGTAATTTTTCCCGTATTTTCTTATGAAAAATAAAGTTCAGGATGATATATCTCCGTATTACGACACGGATTTCAATATTCTCCGTTGGTTGCAAGGTCATAACACACTGCCATTGGCAGAGATTGCCAGGAAAATGAAATTCCATTTGAATCTTCGTGCCGCCTGGAACCTGGATGAACTTCACAAAAAGGAGAGAAACCATCCCATACACAAACATTGGAAGTATGGTATCACTGGTCCATCCGGCCACATGGAAAACGTGATTGTTAATATTGAACAGGTAGGAAACATGCACTTTATTGGTCAATAAGATATACGAAAAAGTGTTTTTCGATTGATTTGACCATTTTAACCATTTACAAAAGTGCGAAGTTCAGCTGTCAAGTTTCTGATCACTTTGAAAATGTTGGACGGTGAAAAACTGAGATAGATAAAAAATTTTGCATTTGAGTCTTTTTGAAAATTCGTAGTTTATCCGGCAATTCGCTGATTTCTGAAGAAGGTCTGTTCTCTTCCTTTTTTTTATAAAAACAGGTAAAACAGAAGTGTCTCTCAAAATCTTGAAATTGCTGAAAAGTTAAAAATTTTTAAACAAAACTGTAAATGCAAAGTTTTCAATCTGGGCCTGTTTCAGGCTCTGCATAACTTCAAAATTGCGACACTTTAAAACCAGTCATATCAAAACCGGGCAATCCAAAACCGAGGCAATACAGGCGAATGAATAAATTTCAGACTACAAAAACAATTTTAGGATTTTCAAATATCCTTTTTCTACTATAACACATTCTGAAATTTGAAAAAAAACCAAAATTTATTTTTTTTTTAAATTTATTTCGAGATTTTTGAGTTTCCGAACGTGCTCTATCAAAAAATTCATATTTGAATTCTTTATGTCCGTTTCCGTAGTCTAAAAATTATTCAACCGCCTGTATCATCAAGGTATCGAAATGACCGGTTTTGAAATGAATAGTTTCAAAGTATCGCAGTGCCGTGGAGCACTGTTTTACACCCTCCAAAGTTCTCAAAATGGTTGGAAAAATGACAGCCGAACTCCAGACTTCTGAAAATAGTATAAATCAACTCAGAAACACATTTTGGTATATCTAAATAGCCGCTACTGTATCATTTATTGAAATTCCATTTCAAACTCAATATTTTTTCCTTTTTCAGTGCGGAAAAACCGATTACACTGGTATGATGGAAACTTATTCCATCCTCGAGGTGATGAGAGCTCGTATGGTGGACCTTGAACAGATGCTGGCCCATGTAATGGAGATGGAAGCAAAAACTGGAAAACAGGCTTGGATCCTCTACGTCATGGATATCACTGGTCTGCAGTATAACAAAAAGCTGTACGACTTGGTGACTGGTTCGATGAAATCACTTGCTGATTTTATGGCCGACCATTATGTGGAAATGATTAAGGTGCGGAGGGAAAAGATCAATCCTTTCATGGTCTTCTTCGGTTTTTTGACGAACCAGTTTCCTGAAAACATTAATCACTCGATGTTTTTCAAATCTCTCGTTTTCAGTATTTCGTTCCTGTCTGCGTACCAAGTTTTGCCACCGCACTCTACGTTGTCGTGCGCCCTCTGTTACCCGAAAAGACAAGAGAAAAGGTAAATAGGAACTCACATGACCAATACCAGTTTCTAACCAATTTTTTTTCTTGGTATAGGTTCGACTAATTGGAGAGACCAATTGGAGAGATGACGTGCTACAGTATGCAGTTCACTCGTCATTACCATCAATTTGGAATAATGAGGATCACACGTTCGGAGGTTTTATTGAGTTGCCAGTCTCATATCCAACAGATGGATACTATTCAGCTAAGAATCATAGTGTACGTGATTTAAGAAACGAGATAGGATAAGAATGTATAATATACAGTACCGGTCAATGTGATAAAAAACGTTGTGGTCGCTTGAAAAATGTGTGAGGTGTAAGTCAGATCTACATTGAAAACTGCATTCAAACTTGACAGCCGAGCTTCAATGAAAATTGTCAAAATGTCCAAAAATCGAAAGAAAAGTATTTTTTAAATCTTACCGGTACTGTAAATAATTGATCTAATATGTATTCTTAACAAAACTGAAAGTTACCTGAAAATCGCCTAAAACCGGCTGAAAATGGCCTTAATAAATATTGCGAAAATTTGGCTGAAAATGGTTGAAAAAGAATTCGAATTCCCCTCAAAATTTAGGTCCGAACACTGGACAGTTGGGCATTTCTAGTTTAATTTCGGTATGATAAACATATTAGATCTTATGATGACCCCCTTTGAAATATAAAATCTAGTATTCAACACCATTTGAGATGTTTTTCAAAAATTATCAACAATTTCGAAAAGAATGATTAGAGTGCTACAGTTGTACTGACTCAGCTACGCATATGCAAAGCCAAACTTTATGCCATTCCATCTTTTTAAAACCACAAATTCCAGGTCATAAAAAATGCTCAAACAATCAATGTACCTTATGGAAAAATCCACGTCGTCACGAAATTCATCAAACAAGGCGGCACCTTAAAATGGTGGGTCCGCGGAAACCGCAACTTCGGATTCGGCGTTTTCTACAGTGACGAGGAGCAAGTTTCCGATTTTTTCATGTAAGACACTTTCATTCTTTTTGGATCCCTCAATGGAACTTTTTTCAGTGCCAAACAAGTCTCTCCATGTTTTCCATGCATGCCAGGACCGACTCTTGTCCCAATGGAAGATGAGGTTATTGTCAAGAAGGTCAGTTTATACCAATTTCTTTATGCTAATTTTTCTAAATTGTTCCAGGAATTTTGAGTGCTAAGAATTTTTTTTTTGCAGGATGCCTATTACCATATATGGGTCAGCAACGAGAAGTCATGGTGGAGATCCTTAGAAGTGCAGCTTCTCGTGGAATCCAAATAAAAAAGTCTTCAAATGAAATTTTGCTGCATTTTATTATTCCATTGTAGTTTCCAACCTCGAATAGAACATCCACAATAACATTAAAATTGTAAATAATAACATCACTTAACCGAACAATGCTTCTGAATCCAAAAAATATTGAAGAATGAATAAATATGAACATGAATACATCTCATTTTTTCTTTCTGCTTCTCCAACTAGGAAAAATTGAGCAAAACATATTTCCATCCAGATAACAATGAAGGAAAAAATGTTCACACAATAAAAATCCAATTTCATGAAGAGAAATTGATTTTTAATCAGTTTAAAAAGTCTAGTTTTACCACAATAAAATTCCTTCACGCCTACAAGAACGTTTTTATTCAATGAACGATGCATTAAATAATGTGAGAATTTTTAGAAAAATAGCGTCAGATTTTCGCTAGCGGAAGCATTTTTGAAAACACGCGGGTTTCATAAAAACCCGAATTTAGGTCTTTGAAAACTTCATTTTGTGTTTTGAGCTTGGCGCTAACAGTTTCCTTTTTTCTTTTCTTCGAAAACAAATTTTTCAATTAGTGGCTCTCGAATTTCAAAAAAACTGGAACGCCTTAAAGATTGTTTACAGCGATAAACCCCATCTTTCTTGACGGTGTCACTCCATGGTTAAGAAATTTTTGTGAACAATCATTTATAGTTTGTATCCATTTTTTCTTGTTTTAATTAAACAAGACGCGTTTCTCATTTTTATCATATTTCTTAGAGGCCACCCGTTGTAGCCATCGTGTTCTCCTATTTTGTTTACCTGATGGCGGCTCCACGGCTGTATTTGGATGGAGGGGATGTTGTCCATTGGTTCTTCTTTTTCTCCTTTTTTTTAGAATAAATAACATATATGATCCTACGAAAAATCTCGTCACAATAGAATTTTTTATACATTCTTTCGGTTTTGTAGAATTCATTTACATTACTTGTTGTTGAGATGGTTACTGTAATTTTTACTTTTTTCAAAATTCCTAGATTTTTTAGCTATTTACCCAGGGATGTTCAAAATTAACTTTTTGGAGTTTTTCGGAATTTCGAAAATGCCAGTTTTCAAAATTCCCAAATTCGGTAGGTTCAGATTTTGAAAATTTCCGATTTTTGGAGTTTCGAAAATTTCCCATTTCTGAAAATTCGGAGTTACGAAATTTCGAAATAATCTGATTTTCGAATTTTTGAAATTTCGGAATTTTCGGAATTTTAAAGTAGAAATTCCATTTTTCCATCACAAAAACGCTAAAAATAGAGGGTAAAAGTAATTCTGAACGCAAACAATTTTTTCGCGACTAACCGTAGTCCAAAAACCTCTAATTCCGAAAAATCGGGATTTCACTCCAAAGTTGTTTTTCTCGGAATTTTCGGAATTCCGATTTCCGTTCCGAACATCCCTGCTGTTACTATATTTTTAAAATTTTGGAAAATTTTAGTTTTTTATCTATTTTCCAATTTCTGAAATCATTTTTGTCCCGTTTTCCACTGAAAAAGGTGTATTCCCAAAATTGGAAAATAGCTAAAAATTAGGAATGAAAAGGAAACATTGTAAATTCAAAGTTGTCATTCTAGGTCGGTTTTATGTCCTCCAAAATTTTCAAAGCGATCGGGAACTTGACAGCCGAGCTTGAGACTCCTGAAAATGGCTATATGAACTGAAAACTACGTTTTTTTCTCATTAGTCGGTACTGTAGTTGCTGACACTTTTCCTTTCATATTTTTCTCGTGACATGTGTCTCGTTCTATCAGCTTCATTTTGTAGGTTCGTAGATTGTTCTGACTTATATTTCTATCTATACTAGTGCCACAAGGTACCAGGCAGTTTATAGATTTTGCCTAAAGTCCCTCTACAAATCCATAGCACAAACATCGACGTGAGTATTCCCATAAACTTCCTGAAAGAATTTTCCTAAAAGAATTTGAATCTAATACAAGACATACTGAAATAAGCCAAATCAGGAAAGGTTGTACTATTAGCTTCCTTCTAGAAGCAAAGAGGGGTAAGGGGAGGGGACTCATCAAAATCCTGTAAAAATGCTTTCTCTTCTTCTCCTCATCTGAATACTCACGTCTTCGGAGATTCACACTTTTTCAAGCATCTTACCCTATTTCTCTATTTTTCTCTATCTCACACACCAAAAATAAATATGGACAGATAGAGATATAAGGGGCGCGAAGTATGAAAAAGAAAAAGAAGAAGAGTATGACTATGCTACTCATCATTCCTTCTGCTCCTCCTCAAGGCACAAATCCTAATTTGGAGTAGTAAAGATTGTCAGGAAAAAAAGACGAGGGAGGTACTGCACCCTTCTTAATTAGAAGGCTCCTACTTTCAGAATTGGGCAATGCGATCCCAATTCTCTTGAATTTTTCCGTATTTGCCTGAGAAGCTGAAAATATTTCACTTTTTCATCTTGGACGCGATAACATTTTCTAGTTGGTTTTCTGTGCTTTGATCTGCTCTGACAAACAGAGAAGTAATGTTTTCCATTCTTTCGACGCAATGTGATTTTTGCTTCTTCATTGAGTTGAGCTAGGAAAATAGATAACGAGATATTTTTATACTGTATTCAACATTTCTCAGCAAATTGTTCAATTTTGTTGAATTTCAGAGCAATTTCATGAGGTCTAATTGTTTCTATCGTGTTCGATGTTTAATCTAGTTCATGCCAGTGTCTTAAAGTAAATTGAATCGTATTTCCTGTTTACCGAAACACTAGGTAATATATTATCCATACTTGCAAAATCAGGGCCCCGCCCGCAGGCCTGGCCGGGCCTGGCCGGACCGAAGATTTCCAGGGCCCGGCCTGGCCCGGGCCCGTGACACTCGGCCCGGCCCGGCCCGGCCCGGCGGGCCCGGGTTCTCTAAATTTGAAATTTTTTTGAAGTTTCAGACATTTTTTTCAATATTTTTGTGAAACAATTATTTTTTATGGTCACTCTTATTTTGAAAATTTTTTTACTTGACAGAATAATTGTCCATTTTTTTCTATTGACCCCGAAAGTTTTTTTGAAAATACAGGAAAATTTTTTTCTGAAAACCCGGACCGGGCCCGGGTCTTGAAAATTCTTTAAAAAGTCCGGCGCGGCCCGGCCCGGCCCGTTGCAAGTATGATATTATCCACATAGATAAAGTGCCAGTCAATAAAATATACAAAAACGTATTTTTCAATAGATTTTCGGCTTTTTAACCATTTGCAGCTCGGCTTTCAAGTGTCAGATCATTTTGAAAAATTTGGAGGTTGCAAAACAGCCTGAATTCTGAAGCTTCTTTATTTATTAGTTATTTGTCAATTTTTAAAAGACGTCTGTTATTTCACTTGTTTCAATAGGAAACTAGCAAAAAATGGTAAATTTCAGAAATCGGCAAATGGCTGAAAACTAGGAAGTTACTAAAAATTCCATGAATGCAAAGTTTTTTTATCTAGGTCGGTTTCGAAATCTACCAAAATTTCCAATAGGATCGCAAACTTGGCAGCCGAACTACAGAATTCTGAAAATGGTCAAAACAGCCCAAAATCAACTGAACAACACGTTTTTGTAGATCTCATTAACCGGTACTGTACACGAATTAAATCAAATAAGGTGACAGTTTATCGATTTTCTTTCAATTTTCAGACTCTTCTTGATATGAATCGTTAATTCTAAGTGGACTTGTATAGAATTTGGTTCTAAATGGAATCGTAGAGAATTCGAAATTTTCTTGGAACGCAAACTTTTTTCAAAATAATAACCAAATTTTTGATCACAAAAAGCGCGTGAGAAAGAACTCTGCTTTTTTCTATTCAATCTCCCAAGTTTCCTTCCCGAAATTTTGGCTCACAAAATTTATCAGCTTTCATACGAAAATTGAAATTTTTCATGAAACATGACAAATCGAACATTAAACTTGTTCCATTGAGGTTCTCTATTCATAACGCACTAGTTCTATTCTGATCGCTTGCACTATTTTGTCAGATTTCTTCTTTCTTAGATTCCAGTTTTTTTTGTTTTTTTATATTCTAACTCCAATAGTATTTTGTTATTTCCATACTCCATATACACATTTCTGACACAAAACGAGGTATCAAAATACTAGAAGAAGGAGGAGCTGCTCCATCCGCATCGTTTTTATTGCCAAAAATTTCTCGCTCCTCGTCGCTTTTTCGTCTACTGACATGTTGACGTGTATATTTTTTCCCAGAGACTCATCCATCCCTAAAGTTTACATCCGGGGAAATACCTACCCCGGCGGAAATTGATTTCGGGACGCCAGCTTCTTTTTGCTACTGAATCTCAGTTTTTAGTCTTTTTCATTCTTTTGGTTTTTTGGCGGAATCTCTGAATCTCTTACGTGGGTTTTTAAAACAATTTTGGAAACCGAAAGGGTTATGGAAGATGATGTGCTGTTTCATTTTGGATCCAAGTTTAGGAAAAATAAACAAAAACTATTAGGAAGTGGACATTGATGCTCTTTTTGCATCTTGAAAAATAAACTATATAACACAAAAAATTGAGTTTTCATTTTTTCTGGAATTTCTATTTTTTCCTGTAAGACTTTCCCTCTTTCCTGTAAAATGTCGCTTTCCGATTTCCGTTTATCTTTTCAATCAAAAATCGTGTTTTCATTAATCCAAAAATATATAAAAACTGAGACAGGCTCTAACAGACTTGTTTGAATTGAGAAATCGAGAATCCCGGTTTTATCGAAAAATTTCAATTTTTGCGAAAATTGTTTCAAGTTAATTGTTGTTTAATTTTTTTGAAATTTTGTCTAGCGATTTTCTAGATATTTCCAATATTCAGCCATTTTTTTTTGCTTTTTTTTGTCGTTTTCAATGGAATTTTTTGAAATCCTGTGAATTAAAAAAAAACGTTAAGAAACCCAATAAAAACTGGAAAAACTGGCGAAAATCATACTTGCGACAGGGCCTTTTCCGGGAAACAAAAATTCCAAAAAATTCGGAAACAAAAATTCCAAAAAACCCCAAATAAGTCTGGAATTTAAT